GGATTGTACAATCGACCAAGATGGCTCTGTCCTTCAATATTATATATGGTTTGAAGTAACGAGTTTGAAACTGGCTTAGGGTAGATGGTAGTGTCGTAAATTTGATAAGTAAGAACCGGCGAATTTATAGATTCTGGATAAACTAGAGCCAAATCATGGGCTTCCTGTATTAGACCACCCATATTGATGGCGGAGCCACCTCATACTCACCTTCTGGAGTTGTTTCTAGTTTCAGAATTCATTTTTTCTGCAGCGTAACTTAATGAAAGGGGCTCGCTATTATACAGCATCTCACCATCCTTGAATTGGCTGGTGCCGTCCAGGTGCCATAGGATCTGGTACCAAAACTCAGCGGAAATGCATAATCACGTACTATTTACATCTTTCTAGGTCAGCTATGAGCGCATACAGCAAACACAACAACCGACGGACACTGGATCGGGTCGAGAAAACATATCAGTGATCTCGTCCGTTGCGCTGCTCCGATCTGACTGCTTGAAACCCTCGTATAATATCGCCATCACTGTAACGAAGACAAAAAAATGGGTTCTCCAGAAAGTTCGTTCGCACTAATCTGATTCAATCTGATTCAAGTATCCTCAATGATTTGCTTGTCGTATATTTTACCAGAAAATAATTCATATATTTCCTTATAGCATGGTTGCTTTCTTCGGAGTACAGATGATAGTAATAAAAATAGATATTAGAAGAGGGTCACTAGAGTTTGGAGGATTTCAAGTGAGCTCACCAAAAATTTGAGGACGAAAGAGTCTCCAGGAATAGTTATAGATTTCGCAAAAGCTGTACAACATTGCAAGCTGTTTTTTTTTTCAAAAATACTACATAAACACATTCGACCACCACAAATTCTGCTCACTCAAAAGAGCGTGTCATAAAATATATGTTTACGTCCTTTCTGTCATGTTGTGGTACTTTTAGTTCTATAAAGTAGTTGGAAATAGCCAAAAACTTGACTGATCATCTTCTTGTAATTTTATCTTCGCAATTCGGGTCTAGGAAAGGCATCCAGGTTATCTTTAGAAACTACAAGCAACTTTTTATGGAGGTGTTTATTCTGACTTGGGATTACTGTGACGTAGGCATTATAAAGTTGTATCCTATATCCTACTTCAACCACTAAAAATTCTTTTTTGCTTGCAAATATAGCCAAAATTAGCCATTTCTCGACAATCGAGAGAACCAAAAAAAAGAACCAAAACCTTTAAATTGTTTTCTTTTCTCGACCTTCAATGATGACTTGCTGAGGATGCATGAAACTCAAATCTTTCTCTTCTAGCATAAAACTTCTTACTCTTATGATAACATGCCAGTGGCAGCCTGGGAAATGTGAAAGGTAGGAAGAGGTTTAAAGAAATTTTTCTCAATTGAAAAGACGTTACGATAAACGCACTTTTCACATTTGAATGTTTCACAAATTTTTTGATAGCTTACTAATCAAAAGTTTCACGAAGGGAGCGTGACGTTTGGTTTGAAAAAAAACGTTGAAAGCCGAATTCATCGAGAATCGTCCAGTAGATACGGAAGCAGAGTTGACATATCGTCATTGCCACTTCTCATGCTTCCCTTCACCTCATTTAGCAGCAAAGATCAGGGTTCCAAAAATTTCTAGCTCGTGTGCTGTTTTTCTTCATTTTTTCTCCTGTTTATTTTTCTGGATGTCCGCTCCCGACAGCATATCAAATCCGGATTCGCTGGTTTTGAAATCAAGCTGGGTTTTCAGTACCACATAAAACAACTGAAAAGTGATCCGGGGACTAGTGAGGCGTGTCCGATCGAGATGTGGATAGAGCAGTGAAGCGTGTGTGCGCTCTGCTCGAATCGCCTTAGGCTCTGAAAGCCTGACGATGTGCATCAGAAATAATCCACTTGTCATCGAAAACCGCATTGGTTATTGTGACGAGACATCGCGACCTCCTGCAAAAACTTCCACCTTTAAGGAGCACTTTCCAGAAGTTTCCCTTGGACTCGCGCAGAAACGAGCGCACTTACGCTTTTCAAGCCATGAAATGCTGTTCGTTTGCCTTCATCATAACCTAATTTGTGAACTGAGTCAAGCTCAGATTCTGGGCTACCATGTCGTGGCAAACGCCTTGCACTTCTTTTTGTTTTTTTTTTGTATTTTACTTTTTCTTCTCTGACTTTTTATCTACAGAATTGGAGGAGTAGGATTTCCCTTTATTTTTTATGCTGTTACAGCTTCGCGCATCAAGTTACTGTGGCGAGAAAAAGTGAAGTTTTTGGTTTGTACTAGGCACAGGCTTTGTAAGAGGCACGCATGAAAATCTGTGTACTTTCTTCTATAAGCTGATCAGCGAGGTCAATATTTGTAATTCCTCTTATATTTGTCGACACGATGGCTAATGCAATATGCTAGGAGGTAAGAAGGAATCAGAGTTCTGCTGTCTACACTCTTACTCGAATTCAAAGATCTGTCTGCATTACTAAATGCATTTGATGAATGAAAGCTCGGAGATATTTGTGATTGGCTCGAGAAATATTATTTTGGTCACAAGTTACCGTAAAAAAGATTTACTGCCTTCCCCCACCCCTCCTTGCATGGATGTACTCATTTTTTGATGGGATTAGCCGTTGTGATTGCTATGCTGAGTAAGGCATCACAGTCAAAATGCTTTATCCAGCATACTTGCAAGAATCTCAGAAACAGAAGTCACATATTTTATTTTTCATCGATTATTTTGCTAGTTCATCTTAATGAACTGTCGTTCTCCCCGGAATTCTCGAATTTCTCATTTTTCTTATTTCTTATGCTTCATCATCCTCTATACAGAGTGTCCCAAAAAGATGTGCACACTGTTTAATCGTTAATAACTCTCTTGCTTACATGTCTTTTGCCGAGCTTGAGGTACCATTATTTGGAGCGAGGATAAACTTAGATTTACAGTATGGAGCGAATCACCAATCACTCTTCGTTAAATTAGGATCACGGTGTGATCTTTCAGCATACAGCGTCACTGTGGAATGAGCCTTTTGATGGAATAATTTCCAAAAAAATCTAAAAATTTGTGTAGCAAGGTTTTCAGGCGTGCTGATTTCACCATATAACTTTCCACCAGTTTTCCAAGCTTTTTTGATGGCGTATTCACATCTCTGACAAGCAGTGGAAAATCAGTTGTTGTCCTAAATTTGAAATAACTCATGAAAGAAACAGTGTACTGACGTGCAATTCTCATATTTGGAATCAGCGACTTCGATTAACCCAGATCGAGAGTTTCTGGCTTGTCTGACTTTCTTTCTGAGGCAAAATACCGTCTTCAATGGCTTAAAATCCTCCTCGAAATTCCTACTGTAATCCTACAGTAATGAAGGGCTGCTGATAAGTCGCTTTATACTGCCAACCTAAATTGAACCTTGCTCTAAAGAATGGTACCTCTCGGCAAAAGACATGAGAGCAAGAGAGTTATCAACAAGCAAACAGTGTGCACATCTTTTTGGGACACCCTGTATAATCGATTAAGGTAACCTCATAGTCGTCGTTGTCCTCGTTTCTACGTTAGCGGCTTTAGCTCCTTAAGAAATTGAAGCACCTTTTTCTAAGCCAAAACGCCTGATGTAATTTACATAGTTAACAAGGTTTTGCTTATACAAAGTGCATTCGTAGGAGTAAATGAATTAGTCCCCTGATTAACGCGAAGTCTAACTCTCTACACTAGCACTTATTTGGCCCTCGGTCAATGTAACGCAGATGTATCTCTTTTACGCGATCGCAAGTGAACCACACTAAGTAACTCTTACCTTGTATATTTAGCAGCCGTAAATCCTCAAACGATCCTAGATGCTTTGTAGTTCATTGCATCTATGTTTTGCGCTATCGACTGAGGACGATTTAAAACCTCATCTCCCAGGAATCAGTATAAATCTTTCGTTGATTTGTATACAGAATGTCCAGAAAATGCACATACTATTCGATGGTTCATAACTCTCTTGCATCAATGTCTCTTGCCAATCGTTAATGAGACCTGTGTATTGCCCAAAATTCAAGCAAGAATTCAAATCAGCCGAAAGCTCTTATGCTGGGTTATCAAAGTGATTTCGAAAGTGGAATTTACTCTTTATGATGTTTGTTTCCTTGGAATTCACTCCTTATGATGTCTGTTCCCCAAATTATTCCATTAAATCGTAACAAGCGTCTTTCTAATGTTCCTTCAAAATGTGATAACATCATCAAGCCCAAAAAACTCGTAAAAGGTTGCGCAGTAATTAGCATGTGTGAGGACCCTGTTACACATTTAGGCTTATTGAAAAAATTTTTTACCGGACCAGTTTACAATGGTGCTGCATGCGGTAGTTCCTACTGTAGTACTACGGTAGCGAAGAGCAATAGCCCATTTGCTCCATAATATAAATCTAACAAGTTGTAAGTGTAGCAGGCTCTACACTTTGGTGCTTTAGCGGCCGCGGAAGCTCTTTTCGTACAAGAGAGTTGTTCAAGGTCAAACGCTCGGTACATCTTTGGCACTTTATATAGTATACATTATTACCTCAACGATTTCTGATTTAACCGCCCTGCACCTCCAATTTTTTGCTTTGTTTCCTCAATAATCCTGCTTATCAATGTTATTGTCTTCACTTCCTTTGTTGTTCTTCAATCACATGCATTTCTTTCTCGTCATGTGCTTCATTTTGCAGTCTAGAAATAAAATGAAGCAAGACTGATTCTTTCAAGCAGATACAGATTTTGAAAGCTGTACCCAAAGAAATACTTTCATTATGAGCATCATAAATTTTGCCTATAAGCACCTTACACCCATCGTCATGGTAAATGTTATGTTTATGTGTCTTGACTACAAAAACTTGTTTACTAAGCCTTCGTTTGGACTCTGTATCCACTGCTCGTCCATAAAAGACCCTCATCAAAAACGCTTTTTTCTGGATGATATATTCACTAGTTTGACGATTTTTTCGCAGTTAGCCCGTCATTTCATCATCTGTCATCGTGAAATCGTCTCCTGTCAATTCCAGGCTCGTTGCCATTTCCGCAAACGATGTTGGCGGAAATTCTGCTTTCTGCACTTTGTGCGGCCATCACTGAGGTAGGTATTTCCTCTATCCGATAACATGCATTGAGGGATAGAAGCAAGGATTCGGATTTACACACTGAAGAGTTCAAAACAGTACCTAATGCGCCAATAGTAATTCTGCTATTGCGAGGTTTGAGTGCCCCCACGTATGAGGGAACGTCAGAAGCTAAAATCTATTCCAAACAAAGTGTAAACTATATGATGTGGCATAGAACGCCAACTCTAAATCTGTTTCCCGTTTTTGCTAAATGCTTTATGGACAAAGTTATGGGATTCTTTAGCAGAAAAAATCTTACATACGGCAAGCACGGGCCTGAACAAATAAATTTGCACGTAACGTACACGATTTTTTCTGCAAAGTAATGAAGTGTAAATTCATATGTAGGAACGTTTAGCAGCTGGGAAATGTGCATTTGGACGTCACTGCATTCAATGTTATGCAACTTGTTGGAAGTAACCACTTCGACTTCCCACCATTCCCTGTCTTAGATGCCCTTCCTTACCCTTCCCTTTTGCCTTTACAACCTTCTGAGGATACATATTGAGTTTTGGCAAGTTGATAACAGTGCGAAGCTATTATCACATAAGCCTGCACATTCTGTGAAAGTATTGGCCAAAACTTTGGTTTCACCTGTGGGCACATGAGTTTCTAACAGCAATGAAATGAAGATGCCTCTGGGCGCATGAATGCAAACGGGGGTCAGTTTAGAGATTAGAGTTATTTGATACTTCACGCCTTAACCCATAACGAGTTTGTGCAGTTTTTAGTCCAAAAAAAGCAAAGACAGTTCTTTAGCTGAGTAGAGAAGTTGCCTGCTGGAGTAGTGACTTAGTGGCTGCCTTATGAAAAAAAAGTTCAGTGTTTCTTCTCCGCCTCTGGGCCAATCATGCACTCTACTTCCTGGGTCTAAAGTGCTAACAGAGCAACCCGGGGGTTTGGAGCATTACATTGTTAGCCTATAAAGGTATGGAATGAATGTGATGTACGCTTTTTGAATATGAGCTAAATCGGGAATGCACAATTATTATTTACTCTTCAGCTCTACACAGTAGTCAATAGTAGCCGACTGTACGATAAAGATCGATTCCCCTCATTTGCTAGCCTTGGGATATTCGCTCCATGTTTCACCAGATACTCAATATATTCGTGGCAACATATTTTCTTGGCAATAATTCCAATTACGCACTATTTTCAAGCCATAGAGAAATTTTTACTTATTCGCGAATTAGATCTGATATTTTTCTAAGCAAGAGTAATGGAGAAGAATACTTCTAATAACATGGTCTACAAAACTATACGATTCCGAGATTGTGTCAAAAAACTTATGGTGTCGCACAATTAGAATACATCATGACTTCGCTCTTTTTTCACATTACTTTTTGAGTTTTTTGTCTCTATTCATGTCAGCAATCCAAAAGATTTCATTTCAAATATATATTGGTTGCATCAACAGTATATGTGGGCACTAATTCGTTCCTTGAGAAACAGTAAGCTCAAGAAAGATTCATCTATCTAGCGTCACAATTCTAAGAGTCACCATATTACTACCAATGAAACCACGTCTTATTCAGGCATCGTCACACCAGAACCACATTCCAGTAGAAGTAGAGACTAAACTTGGCAAGATCAGGGGACAAGAGTCGATATTTCTGCATAAAAGGGTGCGATCGTTTCTGAGGTAATTCACAAGAAGGAGTCCAACGAGTTTGTATCCGTTTTGCAGATTTATTGAGGTATCATATCCGTTTCATATGATAATTGCAGTGTTCCGTTTGCTGAACCTCCTGTGGGCGAGCAGCGGTTTCGACCGCCAAAACCAAAGAAACCATGGAATGACACTATTACAGCTAATACATTATCTCCCGCTTGTTATCAGGTTCGTTGAATAGAGAATTTGCAATTCTGCTATTTTATATTGAACTTTTCTGAGCGAACTATTGAAGAGGTACAGGGGCGTTAGTCAACTCTTGCAGCTCGTGCTTTATAGCAGAAGAAATCATTTGATTTTTCAAAACATTCAAGATGACAGATGTTTCTTTGCTGAAGTGCACCGAGTTTCTTTGAACATATTTTTTGGTATTTGTGCTGTGCACGAAGAGACATCGGAGCTGCACCAACTCGTGTTCGAAATGCGATAAGTTTCAAATTACATGCATGATTCACAAAAGTGTAAAATAAACAAGAAGAAAAAGTTTGGAAATACCAAATCTGTTTGCATTTCGTTCTTCTGCAAATTTGCAGAATGGATGGGAAAGCACAGCTGGAATTTTTTATGTTTAGGAAACTTTCTCCAACTGGTATCATGCTGGAGTTTGAGGTTTCCGTATGAAAACATTTGTAAATTTTAAGCGAATGATATAGTGGATTTGCATTGCTAGCATAAAATATAGCCAATATAACTGCGCTATCCAGTGATAACTCTTTTAGTGCCAAAAGAGATCAAAATGCTCTAATAAAGGTTTTGGACTATTTTGCTGAGTTGAATGCTCTGGTATGTTCACTGGAAATAATTACGAAAAAACCCTTCACACTAAACGAAAACATTCACGCACGAAATTTTTTCTGTCACGTGCATCCTAATTGTGAGTCACAGTGGTGTATACCAAATATCCTCAAATGGCTCAATAATTTTTGAATTCTCCAGGGTCGCGACACATATAACACTTCATTTTGGGGATCTGAAATGTGGAATCACAACACTCCTGTTAGTGAAGACTGCCTTTATTTAAACATTTGGACTCCTGCTGAAGCCTAGTCAGTTTTGCTTCTGCTCTATCATTTTCTACCTTAGAAGAGCATAGTTACCACGCCCTCATATAGCACTCGACCATTCCAGCAATCTCACCGTGATGGTATGGTTATTTGGTGGAGGATATTATTCGGGTAGCCCGTCGCTGATTCTTTACGACGGCAAGGTAAGCTCCAAAATTATGGGTGCTTTTTATGTGAATACTTCACATAGATTTTGTTCTTTTTCGTGTGTTCTTTTTTCACAGCATCCACCTTCTTAGGCTCTTGCGCTGCTTGGCAACGTCATTGTGGTAAACGTAAATTATCGTGTGGGTCCATTCGGCTACCTCTTTATGGATGACGATGCTGCTCCGGGAAACGTCGGCATGTTGGACCAAGTGAGTCCTGGAAAAGGCAAATTATTTGCGCTGTGGATTTGCAAAGTTCTGCACGAAGAACGTTTCAAAATTATAAATAGGTTCGACCCGACTAGTTGGAAAGAACATGTTGCGTAAACCCTTGGGGACGGAACGTGGTAATAAATTGGGGTGAGATGTCAAGCGCTCTCCGTGCTTGCGGTCTTTTATCAACAGAAAATAGTAAAGGAGGAAGGGGGGAACATATGTATATATCAGTCAATGATGAAACAGCTACTGATTGTAACTATTATAAAATGGGATGGCTAGGTCGATAGCGTGAAAAATCTGACTCATGTCATTTTAGCAATTGGCCCTTTACTGGATTCGAGATAACATTTTTAACTTTGGTGGGAATCCGAGCAGGATCACCGTGTTTGGCGAAAGTGCTGGAGCCGCCAGCATCGTTGCACATCTTATCGCTCCAGGATCGGCAAAGTAAGAAATTTTTTGTACACCCTCATACATTCTTATTGCACCTTTTGTGTTCAAACGGAGTAGGATGGTGGCAATGTAGCCCCCCTCATGAAAAAAGCACCATAATCAATGGAAACGCAAATAACCGAGAAGGTAGCAAAAATGATTTGTTGGAGCAAATGTGAAAAAATTGTGCAGTGATGATTGCTAAATTAAGGATAAATTTTCTCTGTCGTTGTCTGAAAAACACCAAAGCGGTTGAAGTACATTTGCTCAAAAGTATGTCCTTATTGAATCAGCTCATAAACTTTGCACCCAAAATTTTTAAAGGTTTAATTTCTTCTGGTTTCAATAAATTTATAATATTCGGGTCCCATAAATTCTTACCGTTTTTACTACCACCGTTGTCCCTTTGTATTTTTCCTTCAATTGATGTGGCTTGAGTAATCATTCTACGGAGCAAAGCAAGCTCTACAAGATGGCTATGAAGAATCTTCTCGAATCGTTTTTTACCGGAAGTTTTGAGCTGAAATCTGATAGCAGTCGGAAACGAACTTTTCCTTCAACATTCGCATCTCTGCCCCAATGCCTTAAAAATACCCTATCTATAATAGCGTATGCTTGACACAGCGCACATTCAACTGTGCTAATTCCGTTTTTTTCATGGCTAAAAATAAAGAAAAAATGAGTGAGGTAAAACGGCAAACTCCACCCCTAGACATTCTGAACCCCTCCCACGCACGTGATCATGTAGCTTATACATACAAAGTACGACCATGTATTTATAAAGTTTGAAGCTGTCTAAGTTCAAGAAATGCTGATGGCTAGTTTAGAAACGGTAAAAAATTATGGGACACCCTAATAATTGGTTCAATGAAGTTCAAAGAGAGAGGAAATTACTTTCTTTCTAATGTCACAAACCAATTGGCATATCATGGAACAAGCTAACAAAAAAAAAAAAGTTCGTACCGTCTATCTCTCATTTTTGGTACTGTGAATGGATTACGGATTTCGAGTTTCTTTTTTCACTCGACAATTCGAATCTTTTGTGAATAGATCTTCTATTATCATTCAAAAGAGAACATTAATGTATTACAAAGATATAACAAAGATCTGGAAACAAAATTTCAATATTTTTTGTGCTTTCGAGAGGGCTACTGCTTTTTGAACGAGTATGCAAATCTGAGATTGCTCTGCGAAAGCGAATGCATAGAAAAATCTTTTCCGTTCAGCTTGTTCAAAAATGGAATACTGCAATCTGGCAGTTTGGACAATAAATGGTCCATGGACTCTCCTCATAGGGCGATGGATAAGAGTCAGCAGTTGGCTGCACTGGTTGGATGCAACCGAACAGAGGTGGCTCAGACAAGATTATATTCTAAAGTATGAACTTTCGCATTTTTCAGGTGAAAGAAACTATTGCCTGCCTTCGATCCACGCCTGCTCAACTCTTAGTGGACAACATATGGAACCTTAATCTGCACTTTCTCGAATTCCCATTTGTCATTGTTTCAAGGTATATGCACAATTTTTTCTACGCGCCAAAATAACATGGTCTTTTGCATCCACATACGGCTATCCAGTTTTCTAGGGATAAGAATTTCTTCCGCCATAAAGATGGATTCACTTCATTGAGAACGGGTCAATACTTGCACCATGTTAACCTGATGATTGGGATCAACCATGATGAAGGTAAAATTTTCTCATTGCTAGGTGTTCTCATTGCTAGGTGCAAAGATTTCCGAGAGTTCCGTGGCAGATTGTGACTAGGGAATTATGGAATATTGGGGTCTCCATCGTCACTGAATTTGAATGCTGGAACACTGTTCAGAAAAGGGTTATAACCGTGATTAGCAGGCTGGCCCTTTCTGACATTCTGAGTTTCAAAAATGGGAAGTATCGGCTTCAAAAACCAAACTTTCTAAATGACTACAAGTTTGAGGTGGTCGTAAGCATGTGGTCAAAGTCTTATTTCATAGCAAAAAATTAATGAATAATTGCTGCTTCTTGATTCTTTATCCTAAAATCAGCAATAAGTCTTCAGCTCAAGGAATTTTTGTTCCACATTTGTTATAAGCAAGAAGACTATAACAGACGGGACCACGAGCGGCTCTCGGTAGCATCAATTTTATTAATTTATTAATTTATTTTATTAATTTTATTAATTTTACTCCGTTCGCTACGAGCTAGGCTTCTTTAATGATCATCATCATTTCATTTGCGAATGTTGGCTGTTTGATCTTGGGTAGCTAATCTGTTGATTTGTTGGTTTTTTGAAATAGAGCAACAATGTGCTTCTACTAGACATCATTACCCTTAGTATTTTTCCCGACTTCATCTGTTGGGTCACCGCAAAGTATAGTCTACTTTTTTGTTATGAGACTGAAGGAGACTCAAATCTTCTACTGAAAACTAAAGCAATCAGTGATACAATCACCATGGTTTACGATCATGGTAAAATGCTTCCCCCCACCCCTCCCACGACTTTCAACCCCCTCCCGCCAAGTACTCCTTGAATGGAAATCGGTACTTGTGCATCAACCCTCCTAAATGCTCTTTATTCTTAGATTTTTCAATCTATAGAGAAAGCCTTAAATGAAAGATTACTATTTTGACCTGCACTCATTTGGCTATCGATTGCAGAAGCAAAGATATTGAGGTCAAACACGATTTGTAGTCGGGCCATTTACTGGACTATAAATAGTAATCTTTCCTGAATTAATCAACGTTAGAGTTTCTCTCTCGCTTCCGGAGTAAGACCTATGTTGCCAGTAGCACTGAGGGGAGCTCTCAGTCTTTACTAATGGTTACTGTATAAGAAATCTGCGGAAATTTATGGGATTGCAGCTCCTCGACAAAAAATCGGAAACCGGGCAATTTTTTCCAGCAGTTTTCTTCTTCGGCACGAGATTCCAAAACTCTCCGCGTAATTACTCGTGTAGTAGCTAGTTGCTTGTGGATACACGGGTCCCACTATGCTCTTTTCTATAGGGTTGGCCCGTAACTCTTTTCATTTTCGAATCTTTAAACAGATATATCCCAAGATCTAGGGCACAGGGTTGCAAATTCTTGGCAGAATTTTTGAGTAAATAAGCTATATAATCACTTATTTGCGAGAAACACAGAACCACTGCAGGCAAATTTTGAAAATTTCAATGCATTATATTCTTCCTGATTTTTAGTCATCAGAAAAATGCAGCAAGTGTATGTATTAGGTCGTTCCGAAAGTAATGTCGCTTTTTTCGAATGAACGCCACTACTCGTGGAATCAACGTTTTCAAGAGATTTTAGAAGCATTCGATGCAGCACTTCATCCTCTTTCTGATGGTTCTAATTTCGCTGCATAGTGTTCAATGTGCTCTCGAAAAATTACCAAAATCTGCGACTCATGCTTTTTGCCATTGTCAAGTTCGGCTATTTTTCTAAATTTTTGTACTTATTCTCCGAAGATGTGCAAGTGACAATTAGACAAAGCAAACTCTATAGGACACAGGATAATTTTTCCTTCTCCTTAGCCTGCTTCTTAGAGTTTCTGGAATCAATTTTTCAATGCTATCAAATTGCATATTTGGTCAACTTAAACTACACAGAACGACAACCGGCAAGCAACTCGGGTGTCATTCGACGCAGCTTTTTCTCCTCTTTTTAATAGTTGTTTTTTGTTTCCGATTCATCAAGTTTTCCGGGATAAAATCATCATAATTCAACTTTTCCAAGGCACCCCAAGGTGTACCCGAAATTTTCGAAAGTTGCTAAACCGAAGCGGTGAATGCTCGTTTGGTTTGTAAAATTATTGCCAAACCGTAATCCATCTTTGTAACTTTCAAAATCCGGAGACTTGCTGGCGTTTGATGCACTTTTGTCTGAGACGAGCCTGCTAAAATTCGGTGGTTCCATCAAAAAATCTGCAAAAAAATTATAACGAGCTCTGGAAAGTGCAAAAAAGTTGTGCTGTTTCCTACAGGGTTTGCTCTATCCATCCATCACTTGGACTCCTTTTGAGGTTTGTTATAAAATCTTAGAAAAATTGTGAAACTTGGCCATCTCAAATAGCATAGGTCGCAGATTTTGACTTTTTTCTGGAAGCTTATTGACCGTATTGCAACAACTTCATAACCATTAGAAAGAGAATGAAATGCTGCATCAAAGGCTACCAGAATCTTCTACACATCTTTGTTCCACGAGATGTGGCATACGTTTGAAAAAAGCGACATTTCTTTCGGAAAGACCTAATATTAATATCTGATGTGCGTGAGGAATGGGAAGCTCGCATTGTTTGGAAATTTTTTTCTACATTGGCTTGCTTAATGCAAATCAGCCGATACCACAAACTTTTGAAAGCCTCCCTGTAAAGTTTGCTTTGATCTGTCGCATGGTATCCCGCATCCTACTAAGAATGTAAGAAGAAATGACTTAAGTCGGAGAAAATTAGATAAGAAGACTTATTGGACAACCTAATAGAAGGGGCTGCAATACAATTCGTCGAAGAGAATTTGCTTCAAAAAATTTTATTCTCTACGTGTAGTAAGTCGCTGTTGAAGCTACTAAAACAACTGAAGAAATCTTAGATAGACAAAGGCTTTTCTGATTAACAGTCTTGAAATATTATTTTTTATTGGAAGTAAGCACTTCGAACTGAAATGTTGCAAATCCGCATACAATTTAATACATGACATGGTATACTAGTTGACGATAATGCATTTGTGTACAAAATTAAGTAAAAATTTTAGCTACAACCAGAGTTTTGATCTGAGCCACATTACAGGTAACTTCTGGAATATCTACAACTTAGCCGATTACTTTGACAAGTCCGAACAGCCGGAGCTTAATCGAAAGGAGTTCCACGAGTGCATAGAGCGAGCTTTTGCCGTGCAGCCAGAACTAGTCCGTAGTGCGGCCAAACATGTCTACTCGGATCCGAACTGCACGGATCCTACCAAGCGAACTCAATTCTACGCTGAACAGGTTGGGAAAAAATGTATACACCAAACTTTTAAATAAGATTAGAGGAGCTTACATAGACTAGCGCAGTATAAACACTTTCAAATGACTTTTAGGTGAATCAAATGGTTGGTGACTATTTCTTTACGTGTGATAGTATATGGCTGGCTGACAAAATCCCACGACATAAACCGAGAGCTGGTCGTGTCTATGTATACTACTTTGATCAGCCATCCAGGTAAGTTAGTACAAATCCTGCGCTTTCAACAACATTGCAGGCGAAAAGCAAGAATCGTCAGTTGTTTTCAGTGCAAATCCGTGGCCGAAGTGGACCGGGGTCATGCACGGTTATGAGATTGAGTATGTGTTTGGAGTCCCCATTTATAATGAGACTGCTGGATATACGAAAAGGGAGCAGGTCTTATCCGAGAAAATCATTCAATACTGGAGCTCATTTGCAACAACCGGGTGAGTAAGACGTATCTACGGCTTGGTCTGTAAGTATCTTAAGTGGCGAGTTTTGGGCACACACAACATACAGGGCTTATCAACTGACTGCAGTGTCGGGTGCACCAGCATCTGCGCTCCCGCGCGGCCGCTTTGCCTGGACTCTGCACCTCTTTCGCGAATACTCTCTGATCACTTTCTCAGTACGAGCGTGGGAAAAGCTGGATTGGACATGATTAGAGAGCATGTTTGTGGAAGAGGTGCAGAGTCTAGCGTGAAAGTGGAGATGTTGGTGACACCCGACACTGCAATTGATAAGCCCTGTACAAAGGTTACTTCCTGTCATGAAAACGAATACAAACGTTGTACCAGTTGGTTCCATCACACTCTAAAATTTTGCATTTCAAGAGGGGGGGGGGAGGCGGCGAGAGGAATGACAGATGTAAGTGGTACGTCTAAATTATTGTGCCAATCTCCACATCTTTCGTCTTGTTTCTGTCCACTGTGCATTCCCTTTGATTTTCCATAGGCTGGAAATGAATTGTTCGTATCAACAACGAAAACCTAAATGTTAAATGGGCGAGTATTACTTTATTTGTCATATTGTATGGAAGAAAACCCAACCAAGTTATCCTCTATCCAGCATAGAAGTACACCCTTATATTCACTACAGTGCGGTTTGTTATGTATGAACAACCTCGACTTTAGGGTGCCTCGACTCAAAGACTCAAAAGCGACTGATATTTGGCCAGAGTACGATGGTGTCAACAATACGAGGTATGTTCAGTTCGAAGACGGTTATTCTAACAATTCATTTTGATTTCTGAGAGAGAGGAGGGAGTAACAACAACGAGGATAACAGGATAGGTAACATTAACGAAGTTCTGTATAGCGTAAATGTTAAAATTGTTGTTGAAACACCCCATGAACACAAAATTGCGTTGAGATACGCATGCTTTCATTGACTACGACAACCGAAGAAGTTCGATATGACATCGTGCACAGCCATTGTTTGCCTTATAAACACATCTCGATCGTAAATGTTGCATTTTTCACTTGTTTATTTATTCATACGCGGCGTTGATCTAGAACACTCAATGTAAGTGCTTAGAGGGTAGCCAGCAAACAATAAAACAAACAAAAAGCATTCAATAAGTCAGCCCAAGTCCAGTTTTTGAAGACGAATGAGGGATTAACTTGTATAGATTATGTATGAAGCTACTAAAGCTTTATGGCAATCGATGGATGATTTAAAGAAAGTTTTCTAAAACTTTTTTAACACATTGACGATAATGCGACCCACCGGTGGGTCGTACGTGTCCTGCCATTTCGGACAATACGACCCACCGGTGGGTCGTAAGTTTCGTGAAGCGCTATCTTGGCCAGTTTACGACGGCATTCTGCGGGGTTCTAGCACATGATTGGGGGGACCTAGATGAAGCTCCTTACAGAGTAGTCCGGGCTCGGGATACTGTAATGTAATGTTACGGTTGGTATACGGTAGATATATATATAAGAGGCACAAGCTTTAGCTCAAATTCTTCGCAAAATGATGCTTTTTCTGGAGAATCAAGTTTAAATGTAAGAGTAATACGGGGCGGGAAAGAGGCTGACGTTAACCCACCAAAAAACATCGCTTTTATTGATTTTATTGGTTTTTTGCATTTTTCATCCTAGGAAGCTCGAACTTTGCATATACAGGTTTTGTAGCGTGCTGATTACGAAAACGATAATCTCAAGTTTTGATACCACCTTCTAACACCAGTTTCTTAATTTCTACGAAAATTCTACCGTACCGCTACCGTAGTCTCACCGTAAGAATGTGTGAACAAAGTGGACACTATAATCGTGATCAGCACGTGAAATAACCCCAATACACAAATTTTCATGAAAATCCATGATGTTGGGTTCGTACAGGATGACTACCGTAACCCTACCGTATAACGCCAAAAACTGAAGTAAATCATATTTTGGCAATCAGCGCGTTCGATAACCCTTGTGGGGAATTTCTCGGAGACATGTTCTGAACTTCTTCCAAAAAGACTACCATTTCGGACAATACGACCCACGGGTGGGTCGTAGGTTTGGCAGAGCAAAAAAGGCTCCTGTCCGAAATGGCAGTAATCGAAAAATCGGCCTTGACGTCAATGTGTTAACGAACGAAGAAATGTTATAGAGCAAAAAAGTGCGCCACCTCTGCTTCGTAGAGGTTCGTACTGGCTACGGATCGCGAAAGAAAACTTATATTGTGATCTTTCGTCTCGTAAATCATTCTCTTTTGACTGGATCCAACGAAACCCACTTGAGAATGGACCACTATTGCTACCAAATTCTTACATGCCTCAAATTATTGTAAACCAGTGCGTCACCTCTGCTTCGCAGAGGCTCGCACTGGCTCCACTATCTGGCTCCACTACTCTGCTCATTCTCGCACAATGATGGCATTGAAACTCACCGAGTAATGCTGGCTATCGCGAACAAAATGTAAACAACTACTCATTCGGAAAGCTTTTTTTATGTGAAATCGGTGATTTCGCGTGGATGGACTTTTTGCAGGAAAACAAACGCAAATTTTTATAGGTTTTTGATTTTTCCGTGGTCTTGACGGTCGCAATAAGAACAGCAGTCACCGTGAGCTACATCTTTGTGCAAAAATCTCGTTAAAAGCTTTGGTAAAACCTTGGCAAATTGACCATTTAAGCAACCAATACTTTTTGGCGCCGTTTTTCCAAAGTAATGGACATTTGGTCACTTTTTTAGGCCTAAGTTAACGGCTTGCACATTTACTTGGCATATACATTCACGACTCTACAAAAAGTGGAATTACGGACCCAATTCTGCGGCCCAAATGCAAAGTGGATCCGTTTGACTCTCAATCTCTGAGGGATCCACTGAACGAATCTGCTCGTGCTTTTGCATGTTGGACTTTCATGCGGATAGTATGAACTGTGCAAAATTTGAGCCCAGGAGGTTGGCTAGAACACGCTCTACGAATTTCATAACAGACACACTCTCACACACACACAGACACACAGACACACAAAGTCACGTAAACATCCTTAGCCCGTTATTATAAGTAACTAGCTGGCTTACCCGGCTCCGCCGTATCCGGACCAAACTTGGCACACATACACTTCGGGCCCCGGCGGGTGTCACAGTCCACTTTTCGTTATCGATCGATGTCGATTTTACCGATTTTTATCGATTTTTTTGCAGAGTTCACCTACAGGGCTAGGAGTTGGCACAGGGGGGAAGTGAGCATGGGGATTTCGAATACAACATTAGTTTTCAGGATCGTCCATTACTTTTATCGATTTTATCGATTTTTTGTGTAAAGTTTGACCTGCGGGGCTGGGAGTTTGCACAGGGGGGTAATCGAGCATGCTGATTACGAACACAATATTAGTTTTCAGGATCGTCCATTACTTTTATCGATTTTATCGATTTTTTTTGTAAAGTTTGACCTGCGGGGCTGGGAGTTTGCACAGGGGGGTAATCGAGCATGCAGATTACGAACACAATATTAGTTTTCAGGATCGTCCATTACTTTTTCGACTTTATCGATTTTTTGAAAATTTGAGCTAGGGGGCTGGAATTTGGCACAGGAGTGTAATCGAGCATGCTGATCACCCCCAAATTCCAGCCCCTAGCTCAAACTTTGCAAAAAAATCGATAAAATCGATAAAAGTAATCGATAATCCTGAAAACCAATATTGTATTCGGAATCCCATGCTCGATTACCCCCCTGTGCCAACTCCCAGCCCCGTAGCTCAAACTTTGCAAAAAAATTGATAAAATCGATAAAAGTAATCGATAATCCTGAAAACCAATATTGTATTCGGAATCCCCATGCTCGATTACCCCCCTGTGCCAACTCCCAGCCCCGTAGGTGAACTCAGCAAAAAAATCGATAAAAATCGATAAAATCGATATCGATCGATGACGAAAAGTAGCCTATGACACCCGCCGGGGCTCGTAGTGTATGTGTGCCAAGTTTGGTCCGGATCGGTTCAGAAATGGAATTTTCTATTCGGAACATACGTACATACAGACAGACAGACAGACATACAGACAGACAGACAAACAGACATTCAGCTTTATATATAAGATGATCATTCCTTACCGTAATTTCGTAACAAACCAACTCCACGGGCTAAAGACTTATTATAAGTTATGACAGATGCATATCACTGTCTTATTACTGTCTCAAAAGATTTGTTCGTTATTGCATAAAAACAAAATAATCCACTGTGTAAAATATGACGTGCAAATATGTAATACTTTTGGGGGCGGTCGATTCTACGGACTCATTTTGCGATCAAGGCTCCTACTTACCTGATAGCAAGTAGGTAAACCCATTTAGAGTTCTCGCTATTTCGAACAGGTCAAGTTCACCCACAATTGTGCGATTTTAGACTAAGAACTTGGTATACATCGTCAGCAAGCTAGACATTTTTCTTTCTGGAAATTCGTAATCCTCCTCTCAATGGCAAAAGACGGAAGCACAAAATCAGCTTGCTTTTCTGTCTTTCCTACATTTGCTTGAACACACTGTCAAGCACACGCGTTGGCATTTTTTACGCATCTTGCAAAAGCATAGATGTCTTCACTAGATGGACTTTTTTGTGCGGCCGAAGGAACTACCTGGTGAAATTGGTTTCAGTCGGATTTTCAGCTGATCAAAGAACTTATCATGCTGGAGCATCCCCTCGGAGACGTTCTGCTCACAAGAGATCCATTCTGAGATTCTTTTGTGCTTCCTTTGCGTGTCTCCTCGTTACATTGTTTTGAGCCAAATCGCATGTCGAGAGCTCATAGTCATAGTAGCAATAATAGTAGTAGTAGTCATAGTAGTAATAATAGTAGCATAGTCATAGTCCCTCATAGTCAAAGTAGCAATAATTTTGTTTGCTGTTGATTGCGCCGCTTGTACTTTGCCTGTACCTTGTACCTACCTATGATGCAATACCTCGTTGAGTGTTTTGGGGGTGGTCCAGAGACGTTTTGTCGCAGCTGCTATAGCTCCGACAAACTGCGAACGACTAAGCAGCATCGCCCTTCCCCGCGTGAAACGAGCAGGACGCAGCACGTGAACGACAAAGACAGATATGATCACTTTGAAGATTAGCTGCACTTTCTGTCACTTCCTATAAAATCCGCGGTATCCTATTAAAATGGTTTCTCTGCTCAATCAATGCTGGCAAGTTAGCGCTGATTTCGACGTCGTCAAAAAGCTTTTGAGTAGTCGAAAGTCAGGATAAGAAGCAGGCGGTCGCCGGCATGACCCCAAACCTCCTGGTATGGTCCTGCAACTCTTTTTCTCTAGAAAATCAGCTGTTTCTTAACCCTGCTTCACTCTGTCTTTATGCGAATGGCGATGATGTCAAAAAATATGGCTGTGGGCATATCCGGTAACGCTCTTAGGTAGTTCATAATAACGCACCAGTTATCCTCTTTCAATAAGTGGTTCCTGAGTTGATAGGAAAGCTTGTGTTCCGATGGCAAGAGGTCAGGTGGACAGCAAGATGTTGCCTGTACAGCATCTTCTGTTTCACACAAATCTTGTAAAGATGACGTAAGTTCAAATGGAACTCCTACCAAGTAAAAATTCTCATTACTTGATCATATGTCCTTCAATGGTAACGAGGCGCTCGATTTGCTATGTAGCATCGAGGAGGGCAGCGTTTTTGGGGAAATGTCAGACTTTTGAAATGTGGAGCATAAGACATTCTTCAAGCAATTTGTCTCAAACATAAACTCCTTGCGGGCGCCAACTGCTCAGATAATCGTCGGGGCAGGCGGCCATGCGATTGATGGGCACCGGAAAAATAGTTCGCTGATTTTTTGCGGTCCGCTTGCAGATGTTTGGAAGAATTTTGGCGAAATTTTAGACGAGCGTTGGGAGAACAGTTGCGGCTTTTTCATAGATTTGTTGTAGCGCAGTGGCCGCATCCTCGCGGACCTTCCGCGAGAATATGCAGAATTGTTGGGGACCGCAAGGCCCTTGTGGGAGAGCGCACAGCCCATGGGTACCGCTGGGTGAAAGTACCCCAAACTCGGGTAATTAAACCACTGATGACACCTCTTTATGTAGAGAGTTATCTTTGCTTAGCGTATGCCCGAAACCGCGTAAAAAAGTGAGCGCCTGCTGAAAGTTTGGCCCGCGTTCGCTGAAAGAGCTTTTCTGACTAGCGCTTGCAGAAAATTTTGTATTGCTGCCCGCTGGCAGAATACGAAGGTACCGCTCGCTGAAGATTTGGCCACGCCCCAAAATTTTGCTGACCGCTTGCAGAAAAGCGCGAGCTTGCAGACCGCCCGTTCCCGGCGATTATCTCACTCAGATAATCGCCGGGGACAGGCGGTCCGCAAACTCGCGCTTTTCTGCAGGCGGTCAGCAGAATTTTGGGGCGTGGCCAAACCTTCAGCGGGCGGCACTTCCATATTCTGCCAGCGGGCAGCAATACAGCATTTTTTTGCAAGCGCTCGGCAAATAATTTCTTTCAGCGAGCGCTGCCCAAACTTTCAGCAAGCGCTCGTACTCTTTTTAGGCATTTTCGGGCGTACGTCGAGCGCAGGTAAGACTCTGTGTGGCAGAGGTGTCACCGTTGGTTTAATTACTCAAGTTTGAGGTACTTTCTCTCAGCGGAAAGTAGCTGGGGGTTGCGCGATCCTCCACAAAGGACCGTGCGGCCCCCGAAATTTTTGCATATTCTCGCGGAAAGTCCGCGAGAATGCGGCCACTGCGCCGCAGCTAATCCATAGAGAAACCGCGATTGTTCTTCAAGCATTCGTCTTTAATTTCGCCAGCTTTCTTCCAAATTTCTGCAAACGGGCCGCAAAAAATCAACGAACTATTTTTCCGGTGCGCGCTTGCTCAAAATTCGCATGGCCGCCTGCCCCGGCGGTTATCTGAGCAGTGCTTACACTCAGCGCTTTTCAGATAATCGCCGGGGGCAGGCGGCCACGCGATTTATGGGCGGGCGGGCACCGGAAAAATAGTTCGCTGATTTCTTGCGGTCTTGCAGATATTTGGAAGAATTTTAGCGAAATTTTAGACAAATGCTTGGAGAATAATCGCGGTTTTTTTTATAGATTAGCTGCGGCGCAATGTCCGCATTCTCGCGGACTTTCCGCGAGAATATTTTGCTGACCGCTTGCAGAAAAGCGCGAGCTTGCAGACCGCCCGTTCCCGGCGATTATCTCACTCAGATAATCGCCGGGGACAGGCGGTCCGCAAACTCGCGCTTTTCTGCAGGCGGTCAGCAGGATTTCGGGGCGTGGCCAAGTCTTCAGCGGGCGGTATTTGCGTTTTCTGCAAGCGCTCGTCAAACAATCTCTTTCAGCGAGCGCTGGCCAAACTTTCAGCAGGCGCTCAGACTCTTTTTACGCAGTTTCGGGCGTACGCCGAGAAAAGATGAGACTCTATGTGGCAGAGGTTCTCAATAATTGTGCATGTTCTCGCGGAAAATCCGCGAGAATGCGGCCACTGTGCCGCAACTTATGTATAGAAAAACCGCGATAGATCTTCGAGCGTTCGTCTAAAAATTGGCCAAAATTATTCCAAATTCCTGCAAGCGGACCACAAAAAATCAGCGAACTATTTTTCCGGTGCCCGCTTGCTCAAAATTCGCATGGCCGCTTGCCCCCGGCGATTATCTGAGACGGACTGTTGGTCTTCATACTGTATGCCAGCATGCGAATGACGAATGGCCCACGAAGGTAGCGTCTTATTGAGATAGTTTCTCTATCCGCATTTAGGAAACCACAGCAAGCATTGTGAGCTACGACTTCTACGAATAGCTGCATGCTTTCAATCGTGGCGTAGCGCAGACAAAATTCCAACCATTCAAAGCTTAAAGGATCTGACGGTATATGTAATGTTTCTGCTTTGTCAACATTTGCCGGTAACTAGAACGTGTAGGATTGCTACATGTAAAATTGTCTCTCCGTCGATAGTCTAGCGCACATTTTAGTTACCGCGTCCCCTGGAAATTTGTTCAAGCACTTATGTTTTTGGCAGATCCTGGCCCCCGTGGGGGTGATCAGCATGCTCGATTACACCCCTCTGCCAAATTCCAGCCCCCTAGCTCAAATTTTGCAAAAAATCGTTAAAATCGACATCGATCGATAACGAAAAGTGGAAAGTGACACCCGTCGGGGCCCGAAGTGTATGTTTGCCAAGTTTGGTCCGGATCGGTTAAAAAATGGAATTTTCTATTCGGAACATACGGCGGAGCCGGGTAAGCCAGCTAGTCGTTGTATAATAAGGGGACGGTTTTGCATCAAAAAGTTCAGTTGTCGCAGAGACATGAACTTTGATTGGACCGTTTAGGTGGATGCTGCTCAAAGGAGGATCACATGTAAAGCCAACGCCAGCGCGGAAGAAGGTCGAGTGTGATCTGTGGAGAACGGCGAAAGACATGGAGTACTACTCCTACTGTAAGTCGCAGTTTAGGTTGAGCCAGGGTGCGCGGGGTACGGGCGCACGTGACGTACGCAGCGTACGCTCAGTATGTTTCATCATAGGAGCGTACGAGACATATGCTGCGTAATTCGCTTACGTTGCGCAGTCTGGCCCAACCCTTTGGACATTTTTTTTCCATTTGGCGTGTACATCAACCTTACCTGTTGTTTTTTCAGTGACCGAAATGAAACAATCCTCAACGATCAATGCATCACTGCCTGCTATTGCACTCGCCATGATTATTTTCTTAAGGTTGAATACTTAGAAATTTGTTCTGTATAAGTTTCCCATACTCATTCGTTCTCGGGACAAATTCTTTTAGCCATGGATATCTGATGTTTCTCGTGTTTAGAAAGCTAGCACATGTCTGATTAGCTGTTATCATTACCAACATATCGTCGCTTTACTTAATGATGGTCCTCTTATTTTGGTAGGTCAAATATTGAAGAAGGTTAGCAAGTAAGGAAGGGAGGCCTTAACAGCAGTTTGGTTATATGTCCATTGATCTTATCTCTCAATTTTGATTCACTCATGATATGTCGTGATGATGGTTGAGACTAAGGTCCATATGCACGTACATCCCCGCTGGGGAGGAGAGGAGATCTGAGAGGGGATGCATCATATCTCACTACTCTACGTAACTTTTTGCTTCTTTCTCTGCCTTGCTTATAAAGCTTTGTCATACACTTATACCTGCGCATTGGATGCCAGGTTACTTCCATAAAGATTGGTTTTTCTTCCATTTTGTGTGATACCCAGGGGATCCTCTGGGGATCACCTCTCATTTTCAAAGTGATTTATCTTCTTGAGAAGTCAATGAAAAAGATGTAAAATTTCACTGAGGATATACTACGGCACTGCTAGGCATATTTTCAAAAGGAGGAATGGAATCTGAAGATTGAATTTTTCGATGATTCATCTTCCTGAGAAGTCAATAAAAAAGCTGGCTCGCGAGCTAGGGATTACCGAAGATTTCGATATCCTGAGATTTCACTTTTTTCTACTATAAACTTCTTTAGCAGCGCCGTAGTATATCCACAGTACAATTTTACAAGGTTTCATTGAGTTTTCAGGGAGATAAATGGCACCGAAATTAAGAGGTAATTCCCTGAGGATTTCCTCTCAATTTCATGCGAAATGGTGAAAATCTGATCAATTACGCCAGTAACCTTTCATCTATTATATCAGGTATTAGTGTATGAGAACCTTAATAAGCAAGATAGAGAAGGAAGAAAAAAGATAATTAGAGTAGCGAGATATGACGCATCCCTTCTCAGATCCCCTCCTCTCCTCAGCGGAGATGTACGTGCATACGCGCTTAAAAAGGGTCTAGCAAAGAGCGTAGGAAATTCTGAACTGGTTTTATAAAGATCTGAGATATTGAATCATTCCGATGAAACTATGTACTTTTTGAGCATCTTCACTCTTTACATTGCCTCAATGCTCTCCCATTTGCAATAATTATGTTATTGTTGTTTGAGATCTTATATGTTAGGCAACGTTGTTTGATGTTTTTTGCACATCTAGAAGAGCTTATGTATAGTTATACTATGTATATAGTGTGTGTATGCATATAGATATTGTCAGGAGATTGAAGTCTATCAGAGATTTATTTACTATTTGAAGACGACATATCAAATTGTGAGCTAATAATCTTTCGTCCTTGCCAAATCATTATCAGTGGTTTATTCAATAAAATTGATTAATGCTTTGGATGACAGTTATAAACTTATGAAGAGTGACTTTTACACTTTCCATATAACGGTCTATTCACATAGTCCTAAGTCCTTCTCGACCATGTGCACAAGATTCACAAACAATCATTAGCATGTTATTTCACCCTTTCCTTGTTCGTTGATGAGTTTGACGTGTGGAATTAGAGAGCGGTAATGGTCACAAGCACACAACCGGTAGTTTGACATCTTACTTCTCACCACAAAAGTTCGATTCCTGCTTTTGCGAAGGAGAATGCGGAAATTCTTGAACAAAGACAGTTGCCATGCCAAATTTGCTGCCTATTGTGTTGCAAAGTACAACAATGTTGTTGATTCTAATTTCACGCAAGTCGACATACTCTTGCGGCGTGCCTTGGGATCTATGAAGGATGTGGCGCACAACGAAGACAAAACTCAGCCCTGCTTTAGTTCTCTTTCGCCACCTTTCTTCCTTAGGGTTGTTTCAGAGTGCCGCACTGACCGCAGCAGACTGCAGTAGACTGCAGCTGACCGTACTGACCGCAACGGCCGTACAGATCGCTGCATCCTTACGTAAAGGTGGAGAGGATAAGCAGTTGTAGCTCAAACAATCAACAGCAATATACGCCTGCTTTACAAAACAGGTATATGCAATAGAAGGAGGAATCAGAGCAGATATGAGCATACCAAAGAAAAACAATCGCCAAAATTTGATTGAGAAGAGTATTTTAGGACTCATGAACTTCAGGGTGTAAATCACGGTATTTTGACGTTATCACAACTGTTTCCTCTCTTACGAAAGGCAGCAATCTAAGCGGCCGTTGCGCCAGTGCGGTCAGCCGCAGTCTGCTGCAGTCTGCTGCGGTCAGTGCGGTCAGTGCGGCAGTATGAAACAACCCTTACATAACAGAAAAGAAGAGGGGAGCGCAACTGCGCAGCATCTACAAACACCGCATTATTCGTCTACGCTAACTGTCTGCGGTTCCTTTCTCAAAGAAGTAGCAAGATCCGAAATCAAATGGTACTAGTGACATTTGCGAAAAGAATAACACCCAAAAATCTTTTTTGATGATGAGGATAGTCGAGTAACCGATGGTGAAGTTGGAGTTTACGCGCTGAGAGTGTTTTGTAAGTGTAAAAGGGAACCAGCAATCACATTTATAACTTTGTGCTACGTTATTAACTGCACAAAAACACTTGACAAGCGAGCTAAGCTCATTTACTGGTTTATCATCATAACTTATAATAACGGACTAAGGGTGTTTATGTGACTTTGTGTGTGTGTCTGTCTGTCTGTCTGTAACGAAATTCATACAGCGGGTTCCAGCCAACATCAAGAGCTCGAATTTTGCATAGCGCATGCTACCAACGTAGAACTCCACCATGCAAAAGCACGAACGGATTCGCTGGGTGGGTCCCTCAGAATTTGCGCGTCAAACGGATCCACTTGGCTTCTGGCCCGCAAAATTGGGTCCGTGTCAACGCTTTTTGCTAAGCCGTGGATGTGTTTAGCAGGTTGATGTGGAATTCATGGACTTTAGACCAAAAAGTGACCAAAGGCGCTACTTTATGAAAACGACGCCAAAAAGAAATGTTCGCGTAGATGGTCAATCCACCGTGGATTTACCTGAGCATTTGAGAAGATTTTTGCGTAGAGATGTAGCTCATGTTAACTATTGCCTTCATGGCGACTACCAAGCCAAAAACAGTTTCAAAACCTATTCAAACTTGCATTTGCTCTTTTGCGAAATGTTACATCCACGCGAATCACCGATCTTACATAAAAAAGCTTTTAGTATGAACCGTTGTTTACATTTTATTCGCAATAGTCAGCATAGCGCGGTGAGTTTCAAAGCCATTATTAAGCGAGAATAAGTAAGGCATATAGAGTAGAAAGTGCGAGCTTCTGCGAAGCAAAGATGACGCACTGGTCCTTTATAACCCCATAAACAGCTGATGGCTCCCAAAGCTTTACTTCCCTTTATTGACACTAGCTGGTTGTCTCGGTCCAACCCGGAACATTGTTTACTGGGGATGCATTAGATGCTGTTTCGGTCACCAGCATAGTTAGTGCACTGCAAGGTCACCCTCTCTCCCTCACCCCTCCCTCCCACTGCCACGTCGGGACCATTAATACTCGGACTCACCGCATCCCCGTGATCTTAAGACTGTAATGAAATTTCGTCTACGCTTGTATGACTTTTAGGCAATGCTTGGTCAGAACATGAAAATTCTTCATTTCCTTCTTTTTTTCCTAGAAATTTGTGAACAAATCAATAAATCGATGGAAGGACTCAGCAAATCTTCTCAGGAAGTTGTCATTCTTCGGGTTGAAAACATATATGTGCAGATGTCAGCTCAATCGGTTAACGCACCGCCGTCTAGAGGTTACCATGGGCATACAGGTACAACTTTTCTGCTTTATACAGTGCTGGCCAAAGCTATAGGATCACCCTAAAAACTGCCGTAACTCATCTACTTTTTAACGAATTGATCTGAAATGTAGTACAGCTGCTCAGATAATCGCCAGGGGCAATCGGCCCTGGCGATTATCTGAGCAGTGCATTATGCAATTTTGGGCAAGCCGACACCGGAAAAATAGTTCGCTGTTTTTTTTTTTGCGGTCCGCTTGCAGATATTTGGAAGGATTTTGGCGAAATTTTTGACGAATACTCGGAGAACAATTACGACTTTTTCATAGATTAGTTGCGGCGCAACGGCCGCATTCTCGCGGATTTTCTGCGAGATAATGCAAAATTGTTTGGGGCCGCACGGTCCTTTGTGAAGGACCGCACTGCCCAGGGTACTTTCCGCTGAGAGAAAGTACCTCAAACTTGAGTAGTTGAACCAACGGTGACAGCTCTGCCAGATACTCAGATAATTGCCGGAGGCAGGCGGCCATGCGATTTTTGGGCAAGCAGGCAGCGGAAAAATAGTTCGCTGACTCCTTGTGGTCCGCTTGCAGAAGTTTGGAGGAATGTTTGCCAGTTTTTAGACGATTGCTCGGAGAACAATTGCGGTTTTCTCATAGATTAGTTGCGGAGTGGCCGCACTTTCGCGGACTCTCTGCGAGACTGTGCAAAATTACTGAGAGCCGTGAAGGACCGCACAGCCCGTAGGTACCTTCCGCTAAAGAAAGTACCCAAAACTCGGGTAATTAAACCATCGATGACACCTCTGCCACATAGAGTTTCATCTTTGCTTGGCGTACGTCCAAGACTGCGTTAAAAAAGTGCGAGCGCTTGCTAAAAGTTTGGCCAGCGCTCGCTGAAAGAAATTATTTGCTGAGCGCTCACAGAAATTGCTGTATTGATGCCCGCTTGCTGAATATGCGACAGTAAAGGAAGTACCGCCCGCTGAAGGTTTGGCCACGCCCCAAAATTCTGCTGACCTCTGCAGAAAAGTGCGAGTTTGCGGGCCGCCTGCCCCCGGCGATTATCTGAGATTTTGGTAGCGTTAGGTAGTAAGCCTCCCAAGGTACAGCGTAGTCCTAGTCTCGTAGTCCCCAATCCTACCTTCCAATTAATGCGCTAAGTCCCGAAAAGCAGATTCAAACTTCCACCAGTAACGCTCACTCAATGGAAATGAACGGGGCTGGTGGAGTTTGAAGCTTTTTCACAGGACTTAGCGCATGATTTGGAGGGGGTTGGGGCTACGGTGTACTTGTGGGAACTGCTACCTGACGCAATTCAAATCTGAAAGAGGTCCATTTTGCCGATCCGCTGCCTTTGAGCATGCCCACTTACTCCTTGTGCCACTCCCAGTCCCGTTGCTTGAGGTTTGCAAAAATCGACTAAAGCGTTGAAGGTAATCAATAATTCTGATAATTCATAACGTATTTGTAGTCGACATGCTCAATTACCCCCTGTGCCACTCCCAGTTTTATACACAAAGTCTGCGAAACATGGATGAAATCGATAACAATCGCCAGCAAAAAGTAATCTATAGCCGCCTCGCCGCGATATGTATGCAAAAGACCCGGATCTGTTCATGAATTGAAGTTCCTGTTCGGAACATAAGTCCCCAAACACACAGACAAACAGACAAACAAACATTCAGCTATTTACAGAGTGCCCCAAAAGTATGTATACACAGTTCGATCGTCAGTATCTCTTTTCCCAAGAAGTCTTTTGTCTACTTTAAGGTCCCATTTTGTAGAGCTAGCTTCAGGTTATATTTACCGTGTGGAGCGAAACACCGATCGCTCTTCCTTACTGTACGATTATGGTAGAAAGTTTTAGCCAGCGTCATCGTGAATTATCCGTATTTTATAAAATTTTCGAAAAATTAGAAAAGTGGTGTACGTGTGTTGCGTTGCGTTGCGTGCTGATTTTATTACATAACTTTTTACGAGTTTGCAAAGCTTTTCAAATGGTTTAAACACAATTTTGGAGAGCATTGTAAAACAACTTTTTATATATTTATTTATTTATAAATTCACACAAGGTGCATCAAAGAGGAAGAACATCAAATGGACAAAAGAGAGAGGCAGAAGGCCAGCTAGACCTTATCCTCAAGGGAAAGTAGTGAAGAGGTAGATGAAAGACACAAAGCTCTAGCACCCAACAAAAGAAAAAAAAGAAACGTGCACTATGAAAAAGAAAAAAAAACGAAAAACGACGATGAACCCGTTTTTGGGTGCCAGCGAGCTCCCGGTAATAGCTAGCTGACCAGGCCCCAAGAATATAGAATATGAAACCGTTCGATGAAAATAGAACCTGTACACACGGCGGTTCAGATGGATACGAATCAGCGCATAAAGAGTCTAAAACCAGTAAAAAAAGCCCCATTAAAAAGATCTGTTTGGGACAAAACGGCTTATCGAACGTTAGTGAAAGCATGTTTGAGGTTAGTAACAACTAAAAAAAACAGAAACTGCAGGATTGGAGGCGGACTAATGCGGTTAACCTGGCATAACTTAAGAAGGAAGCATTGCGGTAAATTGCAAACTTCATATTCAGTATGCGCGCCTCGACATGGCCTAGTTTAGAAGTTTTCAGGTTGTTTGGCTTAATTTTCAGAGCGAAATGGGGCCTCTGATGGCATGCAACCCTCCTTGAAGTTTCTATTATAATCTTACAGTAATGAAGAGCGATCAGTAATTCGTTCCATACTGTAAACCTAAGCCAAAGCCAGCCCCACAAAATGGTGGAGGTAGGCAAAAGGCTTCTCAGGAAAAGAGATATCAATGGTCAAACAGTGTATACGTACTTTTGGGACACCTTGTATATAGGAGTCTCAAAAAAAAAGTATTAAACGTCTGATTCTCAATACAGATTTTGCATCATTTCGAGAGACTACAAACCATGGAAAACGTTCAAATTGCTTGATGCGCTACAAGATAACATTCAAACGGAGTCAACATCGCATTAAGCATGGATAAGCTGTTCCAATAAGTGTTCTAAAATGCTTAAGTGTTGATAATCTTGGCTTCTCTTAGTCTTGCCTTTTTTCGCAGACAAAATTTCAAGACTTCCTTACCAGAAGCGTTCTGCAGATGTGGAAGGCAGATTCAAAATGAGCACTTCAACTCTTCGTGATGATATGCATCTTGTAGTGATCGACCACTTCGACTTCGCGATACTCCCTTGTTAAATTCAAAATACTTATCAATCTCTATGACTGTAAGATTAAGGTAAAAGCCTTGAAGAGCATTTTGAGCCATTGAAGCACTTTTTGCCTCAGGAAAAAACCAAGGAGTCTAAGGGCCGCATGCACTAACCTCCCTGCGGGGAGGGGATCGCAGCTTAAAAGAAAGCTTTATATTTCGAAACTCCAGATACCTGGATTTCACGTTGTGTACCTATCCGTAAGTATTCCTACTACCCTTCACTATGAACATGTTGAAGAGGGAGAAGCTGCACGAACCGGATTTTCCAGCTTTCGTATGATCCCTGATGATCCCCGGCGCTTTTCTTTAAAGCCATTTTTCTTTCTCCGAAGTTAAGGAAATCCTTTCAAAGTTGTACTGAACATCTAACACAACAGTGCTAAGCATGTTGCTGATAAGAACAAATGAGTTTTTGAAAAGTCGAATTTTTCGGTAAACCTCAAATTTCGACCTGTGGATCATCGAAAATTTCATGGCTTCAAAACATCATTTGTTCTTATCAGCAACATGCTTAGCACTGTTGTGTTAGATGTTCAGTACAACTTTGGAAGGTTTTCGTTAACTTCGGAGAAAGAAAAATGACTTTAAAGAAAAGCGCCAGGGATCATCAGGGATCATACAAAAGCTGGAAAAATGCGGTTCGTACAGCTTCTCGCTCCTCTTCAACATGTTCATAGTGAAGGGTAGTGGGAATACTTACGGATAGGTACACAACGTGAAATCCAGGTATCTGGAGTTTTGAAATATGAAGCTTTCTTTTAAGCTGCGATCCCCTCCCCGCGGGGAGGTTAGTGCATGCGGCCCTAAGACTACTCTTAGGGCCGCATGCACTAACATGGCCGCGGGGAGGGGATCGCAGCTTAAAAGAAAGCTTCATATTTCGAAACTCCGGATACTTGGATTTCACGTTATGTACCTATCCGTAAGTATTCCTACTATCCTTCACTATGAACATGTTGAACAGGAGCGAGAAGCTGTACAAACCGCATTTTCCAGCTTTTGTATGATCCCTATGATCCCCGGCGCTTTTCTTTAATGTCATTTTTCTTCTTCCGAAGTCAACGAAAAACATCCAAAGTTGTGCAGATTATCTAACCCGACAGTGCCAAGCATGTTGCTGATAAGAAGAAATGATGTTTTGAATTCATGAAATTTTCGATGATCCACAGGTCGAAATTTGGGGTATACCGAAAAATTCGATTTTTCAAAAATTCATTTGTTCTCATCAGCAACATGCTTAGCACTGTTGTGTTAGCTGTTCAGTATAATTTTGGAAGGTTTTCGTTAACTTCGGAGAAAGAAAAATAACTTTGAAGAATAGATGTTCGTCCCCAGGGATCATCAGGGGATCTTACAAAAAGCTGGGAAATGCGGCTTGTACAGCTTCTCGCTTCTGCTCAATATGTTCACAGTGAAAGATGGTGGGAGTACTTATGGACAGGTAGACAGCGTGAAATCGAGACATCCTGAGCTTCAGGATATGAAGCTTTCTTCTGAAGCTGCGATCCCCTCCCCAGCGGAAATGTTAGTGCATGCGGCCCTTAGTCTAAGACTAAGGGCTGCATGCACTAACCTCCCCGCTGGGGAGGGGATCGCAGCTTAAAAGAAAGCTTTATATTTCGAAACTCCAGATACCTGGATTTCACATTGTGTACCTATCCGTAAGTATTCCTACTACCCTTCACTATGAACATGTTGAACAGGAGCGAGAAGCTGTACGAACGTATTTTCCAGCTTTTGTATGATCCCTGATGATCCCGGCTTTTCTTTGAAGTCATTTTTCTTCCTCCGAAGTTGACGAAAACATTCCAAAGTTGTACTGAACATTTAACACAACACTGCTAAGCATGTTGCTGATGAGAACAAATGAGTTTTTGAAAAGTCGAATTTTTCGGTAAACCTCAAATTTCGACCTGCGGATCATCGAAAATCTCATGGCTTCAAAATATCATTTGTTCTTATCAGCAACTTGCTTAGCACTGTCGGTTTAGATAATCTGCACAACTTTGGAGGTTTTTCGTCAACTTCGGAGAAAGAAAAATGACTTCAAAGAAAAGCGCCGGGGATCATCAGGGATCATACTAAAGCTGGAAAATGCGGTTCGCACAGCCTCTCGCTCCTCTTCAACATGTTCATAGTGAAGGGTAGTAGGAATACTTACGGATAGGTACACAATGTGAAATCCAGGTATCTGGAGTTTCGAAAAAAGCTTTCTTTTAAGCTGCGATCCCCTCCCCGCGGGGATTTTAGTGCATGCGGCCCTAAGAGGTTTACACAAGGGACGTTGACACTAACTATGCATTTTGTAATTTGTCATGATGCTTTGATCATAATTATCCCAAACATACCGTAATAATTGTTATACAATACTTCTAATAATTGAAGTTACGTCATTTTGGAAAGCTATTAACTTGTAAAAAAAGAATAGTGAAATCAGCGTACGTGAAAGCTCTGGTACAAAACAAATCTTTTTTTTCCAAAACTAGTCTTAACAACGACACTATATACTGCAGTTCTTATTGTATTCTAAGCGAATAAAGAGCGATCGGTGGTTCGCCCATATTGCAAATCTAAACAGCTCTAACATAAGGTGTCTAGACAAAGCAAGAGGCTTCCATACACAAAGATTGTTAGAGATCTGGCATTTTTAGGACACCTTGTACAAAATTATCATAGGGACATCGAGCCTTTCCCTTACGTTCCAGTTAGCTAGGGTTCGACCCATGATTCATTCTATTCAAAACATGAAAATGTTCTTTTGCTTGCATAGAGCTTTAAAAGTACGTATCAATATTTTCCTTCCCGATTCTTACTGTTGCACTTCTTTGAGTGATCGTTTTCGTGACTTACCAAACAATGTCCAACGTAAAACTGGAACAAGTGCTCTTACATATAACATAACAAGGTATGTCATTTTTTTAGTGTATGCACAATATATGTTCGAGGTATTAAGCTCATCTGTGACATGCGCACCGCGTCTATTTGATATAGTAAGTAGTCTTCACTTTTTAGCTCAAAATGTTGTGGGTGCTAGCTCTGACGCCAATATGCTACTGTGTTCCTCACATCACGCCGCCATGCGAAGACGACTCAAAAAAGATTAGCTTTCCAGCAGGATACGATATCGCCTCGGAATATCTTACAAAATCGATCAATTTTTCGGTTAGTTACCTTAAACTTGCGCCCGAGATCGTCTACTGATGATGCAAAATAGGCGGACCCATGCGAGGATTTCTTTGAGTTCACTTGTGGCAACTGGATAGCTAATCATCCCATTCCCAAGCACAGAACCACCTATAATCATTTTGCAATGCTCTCTGATAAAGTGCAAGAGCAAATGAGAGGTAGGATCAAAACCGCAGAATTTCAAATTCCTTACGCAAATCTGGAGTTTTGATGAGTGAACATTAGCGAGAAAAGCACAAACATGGTTAAATGAAGTTCTTTGTTTATACGACAGAGTTGCGCACTTGTGATCTTGCTAAGAAAATGTTAACTTGAATAATTCTTCGATTTTCCTAATCAGACATTTGAGGCGAATTTGAATCAAATGAGATGTTCGGAGCAAAATCTATGAATGCACTCAAAGCCATCTATAAGAAGTGCATGGACAAGAACGAGCTGAACCGCATCGGTGCTAAGCGATTAATAGAAGACGTCAGGGTAGGTTGCGCAGTTCTTTTGCAGGAAGATTTTTCAAGAGCCTGCTTCAGAGATTTGGTGTTTGGCCAATGCTGGAAGGAGATGAAAAATGGAGAGTGGAGAATTTTGATCTTACATCACTGTTGATACATGTGTCAAAAACTCGCAATGTCCATGCATTCATCAAGTACTATATCACTCTCGACACCAAAAATGTTTCTCGCCGTCTAATCGAGGTATGGTTCTTTTCAAGAGGAGTATATGCAAACAAAAGTTCACCATATGACCATCACTCGCCAATGAAGCCTTTTTAGAAAAGAAATACTTACGGATGGCATAAGACTATTTTGAGTTTGGCAAATTTTTGAGTTGGCAAGCTTTATGCTCTTTGTAGTAGTACCCCAGTCATCATAGCAAGCTTGTGAATTCAAAAAAAGAGGCCGATAGTCTGTTTGGAATAATGAAAAAGCATCATCACACTAGAGATATTCAATGAAGTTTGAAGAGAGAGAGAGAGAAGAGTGGCGACCAGGTTTGAAGGAAAAAGTTTGATATTTATTTTCAACTAGCATCTTTTAAATCAAGGGTATTGACTATGTAGAACAAGAGACCTGAGACTGGGTTTACAAAGCTTATCAAAGTGTCGGCAGTGTCGCTTGCATCAGCATGTCCACACCCGGGCTAGATTCTGCATCTCTTCCGCAAACATGCTCTCTGATCACTTTCCCAGAGCGTGCATGTGAAAGGGGAGCCTCAGTCGATGCAAGTGATTAGAGAGTATGATCGCGGAAGAGATGCAGAGTCGCGGGAGTGGAGATGCTGATGCAAGCGACAGTGCGTTTGATCAGCTCTATACCACTTCCCTCATTTCATTCTCGTTCGTTAAAGAAACTCCGCCATTGCTAGACGGTGCCTATCCTCCTCGTAAATAGTATCAGCAACATGAAATACAAAAAATGTACTTTTACTCTTCACGTCAAACGATCAAAAGCAGTAATTTCTCAATTAGTGTGGTTAACCAGTCTCATCTATAAGTTCCACAGAGACCTGGTTTCAACAAAGTTTAAGAATTTTAAGGTTGGTTACAATTTCCTGTAGTAATCTCCTCGAAATCATTATAATCTTTTCGCAGACATCCCCTTTTTGAATACTAAACATCACAAAGTCTGCGAAGCGATCACACTTGCTGTGTTTTTGATGCTGTATTCTCATTCTAAAGCGAAGTAGATCAAACACGCTTCGAGGTTTATCATGTATCAGTACAAAGTTTCTTGATAATGTGGAGATAGTCAGCAATCCCTATGTACTTTACATTTTGAAAGGAACTATACTAAGGCCAGCAAATCTAGGAATCCCTTTAGTTGCAGCTTCATGATATGTTAGAACACAAAGAGCGGCGAAGGAATTTAGGTAAAATTGAAAAATGGATAACTCACAAGCTTTTACAATGCGTCTAACGGGGCTAGCGCCGCGTAGTGCAGTCACACATCTATGCGCGAGCGCTACCGTACGCACAGCGTGCAAGGACCATGTTGCACAACATGGTCCTTGCACGCTAACATACGGTACGGTAACACAACATCACGTGCCTTGTTCTTGTCATTGTATCTCGTAATTTTCCGTTTTTGTAGCAGCGGATTGTCATTTTTTTCTTCTCTGCTCATATGCAATCTGCCTTAATACCGGATACGATTTCTTTCGCAGCAAAGAAGGAGGTATCAAATCTTTGAGCGTTTTCCTCATGACACCTTTCATTTCAACCAGGCCTTCTTCGGAAAGCTAATTTTGGATGTCATGATTCATTATGTCGACTCATGTTTCAAACAAAGATCGTATATCGTTTAGGCTTGAGTGTTTTGAGCGGCAACGCGCTGTCCACTCAAATTGTTCTCTCAACCTATACGATATACGATCACACCTTACGATATTTACTTTTAGCTTTAAGGAAGGAGAACACCAGTCGTTCTCAGAATTCTCTGAAATGATTAAGTCAAATACATTTTCTTTTGAAAAACCTTAAACCTCCATTTTATGTTTTATTTGCGCGGTGAAACTTGGAGAGATCTCAAGAAGTACTGAAGTAGAGTTTTAGACAGGAAGAGCTCAGAAGTCTGGAAGCGATAGAGAATAAACTAAGGAAGAAGCAGGAAAAGCAGTCAAAACAAGGACTACGCCGCTTTGCCTGACATGGTCCCTGCAAGCTGAGCATACGGTAGCGCTCGCGCGCGGGTGTGTGACTGCACTACGCGACGCTGGCCTTCTAAGACACATTGTACAAAAAAGTAATCGCAGCGTGGTATCAAATACGTGTAAAACCTTTTCTAGGCTGTAAGTCTATGAAAACCATGCTTGACGTTGTCGCACACCTTGACGGCAGTGACTCTTTTCCAATAAAACATAGAAAGCCGTGAAATCAAACAGGAAGTCTCATCTAAGGTACCCTCGACATCAACTCATATGTCTCCCCTCAACATGACGTGGATTACGTGATTGGTGAGGCGCCGCCACACTTTGGGCTTGCGCCACGTTGCGGGCGCGTCTGGCGTGACGCGGCGCTTAAAACAAGGTGGTGTAGGCTTTCCCACGTTGTTCTTGTTGTTGTAAGCGCCACGTTACGCCAGATGATGCGCCCGCAATCGCGCAAGCCCAAAGCGAGGCGGCGTCTCACCAATTCACGTAATCCACGTTGTGTTGAGGGAAGACATATGCTTTGATATCCAGAGTACAATATCGCTCGTGCTTCCGGAATCAGTGCGATAATGCGCATGTTGTTGCTTATACATGTCAGCGCCTGTCTGGGTAAGTGTAGGAAGCAGCCACTTTCGTCATGTTTAATTCCTTCAAGTTCGCCTATGGTGGGGTACTCGATGTGCTGGATTTTATTACAAATACATAAATTTGCTGTGACTGAAAAACTGGCTAGCTACCGTTCACCTATCGTATCTTCGCAGGTATTTTTATACGAAGCGCCTTCTCTAGCTGAGTTGGTTGATGTCCTGAAGTAAGAAGATGTAGTGATGTCCGCTATTTCTTCCAGAATGACGCGCTTGTAGCACGTTGCTCCTATTTTAACGTTTCCACATCGTTACTTTGAAAAAATTCAGGAATGCCAAAGCTTCTATAGCAGGTTAGCTATAGATTATAGAGGAAAGATGAATAACGCATTCTACTTTACATACGCGTTTTGTTCCGAAAGTTTTAGTTGATGGATTTGGATCTTACATGTTTATTGCTATCCTCCTTTTTGCAGTTCGATCAAGGAGATCTTATCTTAGGCAGATCCTCACGAGATTATTACTTGGATAAAGAAAAGCATGGCAAAAAAATTGAGGCTCTAAGAAGTTCTCTCATCAGTAAGGTGAAATATTATTCACGGAAAGGGTCATAAAATCATTTTTCAACCTGAAAGTTGCAGCTAGAGCTTTTCCAAGGAGATGCTAATCTACCAATCGACAGAGCAAAAATTGAAAACGACGTGGACGAACTGATTGATTTTGAAACGAAAATGGCACAGATCTTGGTTGCTGATGAGGACCGCAGAAACTATAGCGAACTTTATAATCTTCGCCACTTGAGTGATCTACAGGAGCTCATGCCTTTAGTGGGTTTTAAATAAAAACGCAGCCAAAATATTAGGTCGTTCCGAAAGTTCTTTCCGTTTTTTTCAACCTATCATAAAAACACGTGGAATGAGGATAGAAAAACGCTTCAAGTGCTATCCGATGCGTTTTTTCTTCCTCTTTTCAACAGTCATATTTCTGAATCGCTAGCTCTTGTGGTCAGTGAGATAACGGCCGAAATTTCGAACCGATGGTTTTTACCATGTCCAAATTTGGCAATTTTTCACAGTTTTCTTTTTCAACTTTTGAAGAAGCTTTAATAGCAATCGGATAGAGTAAACAAAGTGCAATTTAACGGAATTTTTTGGCGTCTATTGCTAGCCCTAAAATTTTTTTTAGAATTATTCTTCTGATGCTATCAAATTCCACTTTTGCTGATGCCAAGAACAATAGAACATAAAACGGTTCAAAACTAAGGTGTCATTCGATGCAGCTTATCCTCCTCTTTCTGTTGAGCATTTTTCTTCCCGATTTGTGGGGGTTTTTGGCGATAAAATTTCCATAACTCTTGATTTTGAACCCGCCTGAGGGTGTGCACGTAAAATGCGCAATCTTATATTTCGAAGCGGTAAACACTCAGTCACTTTGTAAAAATAGTGAACAATCATAAACGACTTTTGATAGTGTCAAAATCCGAAGATTTGCTGATGTTCGGAGCGTTTGTGTGTTTTGTGACTTCGAAAAAGTGAAGACCTCTGGAAAAGTTGTCTCAAAAAATACTGAGAAGCCAGTTGAGATTGCCAAAAAATTCCATTAAATTGCACTTTGTTTACTCTACCCGACTGCTGTCGAAGCTTCTCCAAATGTCAAAAGAGAAAATTGTGAAAAATTGCCAAAGTTGGACATGGTAAAAACCATGGGTTCAAAATTTCAGCCATTATCTCACTGACCACAAGAGCTAGCGACACAGAAATATAACTGTTGAAAAGAGGAAGAAAAATTGCGTCGGATAGCACTTGAAGCGTTTCCCTACCCTCATTCCATGTGTTTTTATGATAAGTTGAAAAAACGGAAAGAACTTTCGGAACGACCCAATAATTATACCTATTTGAAATTTCAGGTCGACTGGTCGCGATTTTTCCTTGCCATTGCTCCACCTGCTTCCTACCAATATCTCAGCTCAGATCCAAAAGTTCTTATCGTAGAAATTGATTATCTGAGACGGTAGATGTTTCCTCTTGAGACTTTGGTTGCTTTGCTTGAATAATATGCAAGAACTAATGAGTTTGTTTCAGAATAACTGAAGCTTTGCAAGCAACAGACCCACGTATAATCACAAATTATGTCCTTATGCGATATTCCTCAAATTGGGGACGAGAAATGGGAGAAAAGTACGAAGATGTCACTCAGGTGTAGAATACATTGTTCGAATTGTTTTCGAATTCAATCCCAGTTTTGATAAAATTCAAGGTCTCACTTTTTCGACAAAAACTAGTCTGGTGCAAAACGTTGGGCTTTTCGCAAAGCGTCATTGCGAAAAGCCTGGAATTTTTCAATTTTCCGATAAAGAATCAATCTGGTGCAGAACGGTGAATTTTTTTTTGCAAAGCCCTATTTAACGCGCTAGGATATCTTCAGAATCAGAGCACGGTAGAGCTGGCACCGGGTAAAGCTGGATATCGAGAAACAAAAACTGCAACGTCTTATTTAGTCGCGTTTCGTTTTTTTTTTCAATTTTTTGTTTTTAAGGTTTGGGGTCAAAGGGAACTTCGTTCTATGATTTTCCTTGTGCCAACTAGTGCCGAGATGTTCGGATTTTCTGGGTTTTTCAACAAAGACCAAATTGGTGCAAAACACTGCATTTTTCGCAACCTATTTAATGCGTTACAAGTTCTTGAAGGATGAAGTGTTGATTTCAATAAGAGATTCGAAAACGCATTTCTTAACCTTTGGATCTTATCGGCAATTGGCAAGCCCTCGTATAGCGAGTGAGTGGTACGATCTGCAACAGAAACCAAAAAGTTGTGACTTTATCAGCTTTTTTCGATAAGAGAATTTAGTGTCCAAAATTTTCAAGCTGTTTCTATGCCAATGTTAACAAGAATTCCTATCTTCAAAAAAAGCAAGACGCTACGATTGGTTCGTTCAGCACAACCATGGCATTACTGGCTCGTTAGTAAGTAATCGACTCCTGGTGCCGTAATAAAATCCCTCTGGACGTGACGTACAAGGTCGCAATCTAAACTCAAGCTCAACTTTATTTCGCAAGCCACTGATCTATTTGCCGGCTGCTACCTTTATATCGAAAGTATATCGCTAGTGGTACTTTATGTCTACGGTCATGTCCATGGAGACTGCTATAGCCCCTAATAGATAATCTTGAGAAATACGCTCTACTGTGTATATAAGCATCTATTCTCGCCTTGTTCATGTTTTGAAGATAACCTCCACTTGCACTTTGATTCCTGCTTAAATACAAAGAAATTTGTTTCGAGATTGTATATCTGAAGTGAGAATAGAGTTTCACGACACCAAGCTGGACGTGCCATTGCATCATATTAGAAATGCAAGAAAAGAATGTAAAGTCCATAACGAAGTGAATATCGAAAATGTCTCAATTTAGGAATTCAATAAGATTATGTATGGACAAAAGCAGAAAGCACCAAAATGGAAGGACTGCACTAGCCACATTATTGAACGACTGGAACGAATGCAATACGCTACTAGTGCGATATATATAAGAAAGATATTCGATCGGGTACATTACGGCTTACATTTTCAAATTTCAGCTGAGTAGTTTAGGAGTCGAAAAATGTTACACTGGAAATGATCGATGACTTGCAAGAAGTATTTCGCGAGATCCTCAGCAATAACGATTGGATGGACGGTCGAACTAAAGCTGTAAGCTGGTATGCAGGTATTTATAGCAGCTGAACAATATAGTTGCAGACAGCTTTGGACAAGGCAAACCAAATGCTGCGTCAGATAGCTTACCCCGACTTTGTTTTAGATGATCAGGAGCTTAACGAGTACTATGACGGCGTCAGTATTTTTGCTTCTCTTTCAAAAAACTTTGTTATTACTTTAGTTAGATGTGCGCGACACTGATTCGTACAGTGAGATGCTAGAAAAAGTGGCGCGCTGGGGGATTGAGTACTCTTTTGAAAGACTGACGAAACCTGTGGATCGTTCGGAATACAATTTCAACTCCGCCATAGTTAATGCTTACTACTCACCAACGTCTAATTCTATCAGTAAGATTTTGCGTTTCTCTTTTGCGTTTCTCTTCCTTTCCATCTAATTTCAGAATTTCCTGCTGCAATCCTTCAAGCTCCATTCTTCCATCATACCTTTCCGAGGTTATTTGAGCTAGCTTATTATTGTTTACAAGTCTCAAAAATTTTTTGAAGCACCGATGCTTTTGTTACACATTTAGCACTCTATGCGCGTAGAAGTGCAGAAGAAACCACTTTGCAGGTGGTGATAGTTTAAGAAACAGAACTTTTATGACATCTGCTATTTCTTTTCGAAAATATGCTTTCATTTGTAGCTGAGTTGAGTTGCCGGGATAGCATAAGAAGAATTTTGGTAAGAAATCGTACAAATGGCACGTTCAAAGCAGTGTCCGGGCAAAAAGTCGATCTTAAGATTTTATGCTTACCTGGGCCTATTCACTATGCTATCCGAAAATTAACACTGAAGAACACGGCTGTTCACCTGTGACCTCACTCTTCCACATTCAGGAGCGATCCTCTCGCTTCCGCTAGTCGCTCTAACATCGCATCAGCCAACTGCGAACACGCGATTTAACGGAACCGAAAAGATCGCTCGTGAAGCTGGGAGAGTGACGTCGCAGCTTGAACACCACGCCCACCTGCGATTTACCTCCTGCTTGGAGCCCTTTTTGTCATTTTCACGCTTTCAGTGTGAATTTTCGGATTCAGCACAGCAAATAGGCTCAGGTAAGTGCAAAATCTAAAAATTGACCTTTTGACCTGACACTGCCTTTAAATTACATAACGTTTTGAGTGGTGGGCACTTAATGTTCTTTTTAAGTTTCCTGGCAGAAAATCTGCGACTTTGAGAAGCAAAACAGCAACATTTCTCGATAGTGTACTTTTTCTCGCATTTGCAGGGCTTTGAATTACGGAGGAATGGGGGCAGTTATTGGGCATGAAATTACACATGGTTTCGATGATAAAGGTACGTCTTATTCTTCAAAGAAAAAACTAAGAATTTTTATTACTTCTGCTCTGCACACTCTAGAGTTTCTGACACCTTTGACAAGTCATTTTAGGACGACAGTTTGACGCAAATGGAAATCTTCGCGAGTGGTGGGATGAGGGCGTAAAGAGAAATTTTGAGAATCGAGCTCAGTGCATAATCAATCAATACGGGAATATTGAAGTTTGCAGCGCTCTACAACAAGTTGTCTCGTTATTGGCGAATGTCATTTGAGGTACCTGGCACTGGTCTCAAAATCAACGGTAAACTGACGCAAGGAGAAAATATTGCCGACAATGGTGGAGTGAAACAGGCCTACAGGGTAACACCGTAAATCAGTCTCTTACTGCGCCTTAAATGCATCTATTTAGGCTTACAAAGCTTACCTGGAAAAGCACGGTGGAGAAGAAGAGAGAATCAAAGGCATGGAACAATATAACAACGAGCAGATGTTCTTCTTAGGCTATGCCACGGTAACATTTACACGACGTAGTGGCATGACACACAGTCTCACTTTAGATGTGGTGTGGGCATTTGACAAATGACGAGCTGATTAACAGAGTTCTTACCGACCCGCACGCTCCGCAGCGTTATCGGTAAATGAAGTTAGAATATATACGAAGTCACAAATTCATGACTCTTTCAGGGTTAATCAAGTGCTAGCCAATCAACCCGAATTTGCTGCTGCTTTCAAATGTAAAGAGGGCAGTGCCATGAATCCTACTGAACGCTGTGCTGTTTGGTGAAGTAGTGGTATTATATATATAGATACTGTGCTTATGTGCTATACATAACTTCTATTTGCATTACGAATGCATGAATTTTGTCAATGAAAACGGGTATGATCATGACTGGTTATTTCACTCATGTGCTACAAGGTACATATCAATATTGAAACTACGGCTTTTCTCTTTGAAATCAAAGCAAAGAATAGTTGCGACGTCGCACGCGTCGTTCGCGTGGCCGCACTTTGTTGCAACCTTCGTTTGATTTGTCCTCATATCTCCCAAATAAATATCGGCGGCACAGCTCTACACAGTCCTACATTCGAAAAATAGGAGCTTAGGTTTTTGGCCTGATAACTTTGAACTAAAAGAAAACCTCTTGTAAACGTCAAAAAGATCCTCTAAAGCAGGGTGCTGCACCATGTGCAGCACCGGTCCGAAACGTGTTAAACTATGTGATCAAAACAAATAAAATGTTCGAAAGCTCGTGAAAGCCTGTCTAATGAAGTCAGTGTGTGTGAGAACACTGCTATAAAATCCAGATTTTTTGGAAATTTTCTCTGAAATTGAGCTCACAAAGGCGTTGTGTTGGAAGTCCCTAGCGTACTCTCGTGCAGAGTTTGATGATTTGCTACGTACCTATATCTTTCTAATTGCTGCTCTACTGAATGGTACTGGGAGCATGACAAAAGATTTTGTGGGAAAAATTGAGGACTAAAAAATGCATAATTATTTTGATGCTTTGCCACTCAAAATGTCAGTTCCTTATACAAGATTAGGTTAGCAGTTACGCACAACATACTGTTTTAATTTTCAGTTCAGCACTATAGTGTCGGGATAGAAGACACACCTACAGTAAGGAGAAAGATGAAAGGAAGATCATTATAGCTTGTAAGTTTACCTAACACAGTGCTTTGATTTTTCTCACAGAAAATAGATACCTTTGAGTTCTATTGGAAACACTGAGTTCTTGTTTCTAACTTTCAAGAAAGCACAAAAGTCCCTCCCAAGCGACAAAATTCAAACACTTCGAATTCACTCAGAACCTTAGGTGTGGAGCTTATCCGACATGCTGATTACAGATGTGGACCACAGTCTACGAAATAAAGTCTTTTGTTAGCTAACGGCTCAAGGTACACTCTTTTTCGCCGCGCGCGATTTCGTGGTCCGAAACGTGTTAAAAATGCAAAAAGTTTAGCTACGGTTTATTTGGCGCAACTCATGAGAAAAGCCTTAAAGGCAGTATTTTGGCAGAATTTCGTTTTCCAGTTTTTCACCTTTTCGGAGTTTTCTCGCTATGAGAAATCCATATCTGGGCTTTTTAGCGCATGGAAATGGCAAAAACAAGCTTTTCCGAAGCTTTCCAGGGCCGCATTCAGTGAAGATACCGGAGAAAGCCGTGCCCCGCATCCCTTGCTCCATGCCCAGCCTTCACTGAATGCGGACCTGGAAAGCTTCGGAAAAAGCTCATTTTCGCCATTTACATGCGCGGAAAGTCCAAAGTATGGGTTTACGCGGCGAGAAGGCTTCAAAAGTTTTGAAATCTGTAAAACGAAATTCTGCCGAAGCACTGCCTTCAAGGTAAACCGAAAAGATCGTATCCATAATCAGCGAGTCAGTTCAAATCTAATGACAAATTTTTCGGCTCGTTGAGTAATTTGTCGGTAGCAATATGTAGCCATCAATGACTCAAACCCTCATCAAAGTCCCTATAATTTTTAATTGATGAAGAGCGGTGGATAATTGGATGCATACTGCATATCTAAGTTAGAGCTCCCTCCACCGAACGGTACTTGAATACTTGGGAAACATTTCGAATAACAGAGGTGAAGATGCATACTGTTAGAAATGGCTTGTTGAGCTGACTTTGAATCTATCTTTCGCGTATCTGCTCAGATAATCGCCGGGGCAGGCGGAAATGCGATTTGTGGGCAGGCGGGCACAGGAAAAATAGTTCGCTGATTTCTTGCGGTTCCGCTTGCATATTTTTGTAAGAATTTTGGCGAAATTTTAGGCGTTAGAAAAACAATGGTTTTTTCATAAATTGATTAGGGCGCAGTAGCCGCATTCTCGCGGACTTTCCGCGAGAAATGCAAAATTGTTGAGGGCCGCACGGTCCTTTGTGAAGAACCGCACAGTCCTCATGTACCTTCCGCTCAAAGAAGGTACCCTAAACTCGGGTAGTTGAACCATCGGTGACACCCACTCAGACAATCGCTGGGGGCAGGCGGGCACCGGAAAAATAGATTGCTGATATCTCGCACCCCGCTCGCGGATTTTTTGCAAAGCAATCAGGACTTTTCGGAAGACTGAGTCAGCGGATTTTTGAGAGATTGCCTGTTGAATTTTTTTCCGCTCTTATCTTTTGCAGATATATTGCTAAATCTCTGAGGAATCGAGAACTCAGCAAGCGGTCTTCCGAAAAGTCCTGATTGCTTTCCAAAAAATCCGCGAGCGGGGTGCGAGAGATCAGCAATCTATTTTTCCGGTGCCCGCCTGCCCCCGGCGATTGTCTGAGTATGCCACATGGAGTCTCATCTTTGCTCGGCGTACGCCCAAGACTGCGTTAAAAGAGTCCGAGCGCTTGCTGAAAGTTTGGCCAGCTTTGAAAAAAGTTATTTGCCGAGCGCTTGCAGAAAATGCTGTATTGCTGCCCGCTGTCAGAACATTAGACAGTAAAGGAAGCACCGCTGGTCGAAGGTTTGACCACGCCCCAAAATTTTGCTGATCGCTTGCAGAAAAGCGCGGGTTTGCGGACCGCCTGCTCCCGGCGTTTATCTAAGTTGGTGTTCCTATCGTATTTGCCTCACGCGACCAAACTTGCCTCAAAAATCCTTCATAACTTCTTTTAGAGAAAAGATTAGCAGAAATGGAAGCGAGATTCGGAATCAGCGTTCGAAAACGAGTGTAATTGTGTACATTTCATTTCAAAAGGTCACGGACACTAAGTATGTTCCCTCTTAAGGATAGAAACGAAACGAAGTTTATAAGTTGGTACTATGATTATAAACATTATATGATAATATCATCTTTTCATCAATATTTACATGTTGTTTAGAGCTATCACGTTTAGAGCTATCACCTTGGCGCGGAGAGATGAAAGCTACATGAAATTCTTTTGCTTACTATACGATGAGTTTTGCAGGCTGAAGTCATTACGTATATAAACACATAGGGCATTCGAAAAATCGTGACGATGCAACACGCACGCGCTCTCAATTCTTGGTTTCTATCGCTACTCAAATAATTTTTCTGCTTACATATGATAGTATTCAGGCACTGGAAATAACTGAGCTTAAAGTTGAGGTGTTGCTTGTTTGTGTGCATGTTTTATCCTTCTGTGTGCGGAAAGACCGCAGTCAACTCGCGTCACAATTTCAAAAATGAACCAATTTTCGTGTAGCGTTACAACTGGCCTAGAATTATATTTAACCAAAAAACTATCACCTAGTTCTTCTATTTGCTTCCCTCGCCTTCGACATCCTTGAAAGAACCCTAGAATTTGTCAGACGAGCTCTCCTCTGCCATTTTTCGATCTCTTGCTTGGCCGTGCCGCATTTTTCTTTCTTCCTGCAGTGCAGAACCAGGCTGACGCAAATTTTGGAGACACATTACCCATTCATTCCACTGCCATTGGTCTTTTCTAATACTTGGTTCCTCAAAAGCTTGCATTGCACTGTCCATAACTCACCTTGCCAATTCTATCCGTTATTTCACCGTACTTAGTCGAATGCGCCTTTAGTAAGCTTCAACACTTTTCTATAGGATTGAATGTGCAGTGGAACGACGGCAGTCGACCACTAGTTCGGCACACCTGTGATCCCCAGCATACTCACGAACAGCGTCGATACACCTAGATTCTACGTAATCGCGAAGCTGAACTTTGAAATTAATTTTAGCACAATGATAGGATGGATAGGCGTCACCTTATTCAGAAGGTCGGCTTTTCCTTCACCATTACTCACTGCAACACGAGGCCAAAAATTCAGCTCCGCTTCGGTCGAGCCCGAGGTGGGTACGTTTTTTGCTGCCTGCTGTGGTAGAGGCTTATCCATAATCAGTGTAACTCGTTTTTCCGCTGTCCAATCCTTCATGTGAGGGATGGAATGCTCTAGCCACTCTCTAATTAAAATAGTTCATGACTCATATCTTCGAGATACATCCCGTTATTCCTTCTACCACATAAACATTCTTGTTTACTTTGATAGACCTTCCGCCATCGCTGCATTTACTATGGCTCCCACACTCTCATTCTTCCCGATGCCCCTGCCACATGAATGTTAATCCAGCAACTTTTTTGCTGCAAATCTTGAGATGTCATTATCATTCCACCCTCTGGGTTTCAATATGCCGGGAAATAAACAAGTCTCATCGGTGTATAGCAGGCTATCTCCGCGTATTCGAGCTTCTCGATCAGTTGTAAACATCCCGAGCGCTTCCTGATGAGATCGGGCTTTGATAAGTGATTTTTTAATTGTCAGTGATTTTCTAAAAGAAGCCTAAAGCTCTCATAAACGTATGCAGAGTGGAGAGTGAGACGCAGAAATTGTTTTTGCTCAAAGGATTGAAGCTTAGTGGTGGTAAGATCGTTCGCGTTTCTGAGCCTTCCGTGGATGGCATGCTTCACTGTCTCATCCCATTTCACTCTATACTTATTGAGTGTTATCTGGCGCCTTTGATTCTTGGAAAGTGGTGATCTCGTGCTTGTTAAAGGCCTTTTGCAGCTAGCTGATGCACATTTTCTGGAACACGTTTAATTGCCTTCTACAAACTACGCTGAAGTCGGAAGTCGCTAATTTCTGAGAGTGTTGGACACACAATTTTCCCTTCGCAAGGTGCAAAATTGGAATCTTGAGCCAGAAGCGGTGTGAATGTGATCAAACTTCGCTAAAGCCAAGAGTAGGCTGAGCGCTCATGCTCACAGCAGTTTTATCGTGATGGAGCTAGAAAGTACGCGTGTGCGGGCGAGTTCCTGACAGTCATATGTCCGCGGCCGAAGCATAATTCATTCGACTCAAATCGCTCAAGGGGTTTCCTTAGTACTTTTTGTATGGATTCATATATTGATAAGTTATCCAATTTTTATATGACTTCAAATAGTGATATGCTAAATATCTGATGAGAGCAAAGCAGTTCAAGGTGGAAAAGACCCGATGAAATTGCTAATGTATAGTGTCACCAATAGTCGCAGCTGATGCAACTGTCAAGATTTGGCGGAGCCTTATAAAGTGCTGCGATGAAAGTAAGGAATGAAAAAACAACTGACAGTTACAATGCTTGAGCGAATCTTTCCTGCAATAGCAATGTATTCGGAACCTTCATCTCCACAAGGCGCCGCTGTAATGTATTTTTCACCCCTTTATTAAATAAGCTTTGCTGCGAGAAAGGAAGGTAAGGTGCTAGCTAGCCACAATAGTTTAAATAAAACGAGAAATGAAGGTTGAAAATTGAGTATCGAAAGCAATGGGTGAAAAGTACATTTAGCAACAATGCATGGTTAGAAATTACTGTATTTGCTTTTTCAAAATATGAAAGTTTATAAAGAACACGTTGACAGCTTCAGAAATAAAACCTATTTTTTGATCCATGGAACGCAGTAACGCAGCAGTTAATTTGATTTGCCTGATGCAGTGACAAGCAGTGGAGTACATTCCAAGATAAGTAAACTCAACAAAAGAATAGCGTGATAAGTTGATGTTTAGATCATGGAGAAAAATACAAAACACGAAATCTTTCGCCTTTCAACCCTAAATAACATTACCACCAAGTTACCCCTACTTGAGGTTCGTCTGTAAGATTGGATATAAAGCATAACACGCAGTATCAGAAAATAGCATACAGTTCTATTGTAGAACGCAGCAACGCAGCAGTCAGTTTGATTTGCCTGACGAAGTGACAAGCATTTGTGTGATCTGATCTATTGAGAAAACATTCTAAAACATCGCAAAACTTGCTCTACCTACCATAGCCATAATTGGGTATCATTGCGAGTATCCAAAAAACAGTTTATTTTTTAACTCGCCTGACATGGTATTACATGAACATTCTACAAAGATGACAATCTGAAAGACCTTGATATAAGATATCATTCCTCTATATTGCTAGTCGCAAACGGCATTGTTCAAAGTTCTGTGGCCGTATTCATCATTGATACCTTGAGGTAAATTCTACCTCCAGGTAGTTTTATCACTCATTATCAGCAAAATTACATTGAGAATTTACCTCAAGGTACTTTTGTAAATACGTGTACTTGCTGATAATGAGCGATAAAACTACCTAGAATTTACCTAGAAAGCTAGAATTTACCTCAAGGTATCAATGATGAATACGACCACTGGAATAATTTACAGAAAAAAAGAAAAGGAACTTTTCCGGAACTGTCAAACTTCCATATTTTCTGCCATTTCTTTTCCATCAAGCTAGAAATTCTAGAAAATCGGATAACTGAGCAAGCATACAAGGAAAGTGGTATGGTGCATGAATGAAAATAGAAAAAAGTACGAGAAATGCTTGAACGACTGAGGAGGCTATAGGATGAGCGTGTTACGAGATGCGAATTGAACGCGCGCCGCCACGTACTGTAAATCTGGAAATGATTCAAAAACACACGTAGTATGAATACACGAGTCGAAATACGTCGTTGAATATCCTCTAGCTATCTCATTTGTGGGCGGAGTTTCAATGGATGACGATTCAAAACAGCACAGAGTTTGCCTCGGCTTGTTGCAAGTATGACATAGTTAAAGGCAGTGTCCGGGCAAAAAAACGATTTTAAGATTTTGGCTTACCCGGGCCTATTCACTATGCTGAATCCGAAAATCCACATTGGAAAGGGCAAAAACGGCAAAAAAGGGCTCTAACGGAGGAGGGAAATCGAATGTGGGCGGGGTCCTCCCCACTGTGGATTTCGCAGTCCCAGTTTCTGGGGCGATCTTCCCAATTCCTCTAGCGCCCTGAGATCTCCACCGGCCAGGTGCGAATGCATGACTTGAAATCGGAATCGAGAAGATCGCTCTGGAAGCTGGGAGCTTGAATTCACTGTGGGGAGGACCCCGCCCACCTGCTGATTTCCCTCCCGTGTTAGAGCCGTTTCTCACCGTTTTCGCGCTCTCCAATGTGCATTTTCGGATTCAGCGTAGCGAATAGGCCCGGGTAAGCAAAAAATCTCAAGAACGAGTTTTTGCCCGGACACTGCCTTTAAGAAAAAAGAAACTATGCTGTTGCAACCAGCCAAAACACACACACGCACGGGGAGAAAGGAGCAGTAATGCTGCAAGAATGTTTGGAATAGATGTGCCCATGGTCAGAAGATGAAAGAAAAACTTTAAAGTTCTGCAAGCTGGATAGCGAAATACGTGCAAAACGATACAAAAAAAACTTATAGGTTGAGCTGAAAGAGAGCAAAGATGGTGTTGGCGAGAAGTGCAAAAAGCGGAAAATGTTTACTACTTTGATACGCCGAAGCAAAGCGAATCGCTGAACTATGAGCATTGTCGATTCCGATGGCGGGGCCGGATGATGTGCAATTTTACTCATGCGAAACTATCGATGAAAGCCATTATAAGTCGATCACTACTTACCCGATAACGACGATATCTCACAGCCAATTTGATTTGTGAAAAATGAAGAGCACGGTCCCGATCAAAGATCTCAGTAAAATGAAGTGCCATTAAAGGCAGTGTCCGGACAAGGTGGGGGTATTAGGATTTCATTGCCATACGAAAGTGGTCTTCCTCAGACACAGCATTGCGCAAATACGAGGTTATAACGTTCGATCTAAAGCAAGAAAGATGATCGGAAAGTGGAGAAACTTACTCCTTCAGGCGAAGTCCTCCGACCTGTTTGAATTCCTGCTATGCGGCGGAATAAGCATGCCGCCGCAGTCAAAATTGTAGGGTCCCGCAGCGACTCTGTTTCTCAAATCTTGGCGGGGACCGAACTTCAAGATGTAAAGCTCTGGAAAACGCATGTTCTCACCGTTTTCGCGTCTAATGTGGATTTTTGGATTTAGCGCGCTGATAAGTCCCGGTAAGTGGATTTCCTAGAAATCGAGTTTTTGCCCGGACACTGTTTAACATTCGACTTGCCAGGCAGATACACTGTGAAGCCCAGAGCGCATGTCGGCGTAGTAATCAAAGGGTAAGATTTGCAGGATGTATATAGTACATCATTAACTTGGCAGTTTAGATTGAACGAGGACCAATTGCGCTTGTATTAAGGGGGACGGTCAATAAGTCACTGTGAAGGCAAACGCCCATGGACGGATGAACGAGCAACTTTCGAATGGGTTGGAGAGTGCTGGACGGCATTCTTTTACTTTCCCGAAACAGTCTTTACTCATACTCGATTTCGCCCGCTGTCAGTTGACTATAGGGCAAAGAAGGCCATCAGGCCATCCGCAAACGAGCAGATAGCGGTCAATTAGAGAGAACTTACTTATTCAGCCATTGGACGTCGCTGAATAAGTCATTTAAGTAGACTAAGGAAGAATTGGGAGAATGGATGTTCCGAGAAGAGATCGCTACACCAAAGGGACATATGTGCGACGCAATGCATGAAAATTTTTGCTAATAAATCCTAGAAAGCATACGAGATCACTGCTCTCATGTCCAAAACGGAATTTGAAGAGCGTTAGAGAAAGTGTAGATGAAGTTTCGAAAGATTGCGAGACGTAAACGCTGAACTTTGGGATCGTTCAGACCGCGCACAAAGGCGCACGAAGGCGTGTGTGAGTGTGTGTGTGTGTCGAGATAAACGAGACAAGACGAGACGCGCCAAGCCTTTGTGCGCGGTTTGAACGATCTCTTTGCTTTTGCAGTTTGTTTTCAAATAGTGTGCCTGCTTCTTTTTCATTCTTATCTGTTCTGAAAATTCACTTCACAATTGACTGTGGTATTCCATTCAACTTTTTATTGATGATGATCTCTCACTTTTTGCACGTTCAGCTTTCCACCGTTTGCTCCCTTACTGATATTTTACTGCTTACTTTTTATAAAATCGCGAATGTCTACGCCTTGAGGAGTGCTCCCAAGCCGTGCCACAACTATTAGGTTGTTCGGAAATTAATGTCCGTTTTGGTTTTCAACCGCAATAA